TCAAACGCATTTGCCTCTGCTCGTACCAGAAAAATGAAAGAATCAGTAAATAATCGGAAATTCCGATTGATCCGGAAGAAAATTTAGGAGCAAAATGTGAAGGGAAACGCAGAAAGCAAGATCTTAAAAAAAAAGCACAGAAGTAATAAACAACATTGACTCTCAAGATCTCTCAGACAGCTAAATCTGGCTGGAAATTACCGATGGGGGAGAGGGAGGAGACGAAATCAGCAGGTAATTAACAAACGAGACACTCCATTTCAGCAAAAAGCTGATAGATTCATGAGCTTTGATGACAATGGCAGATCAAGACGCAACCCAAGACCAAAAAATTTAAATAAAAAATATGAAGGAAACTTTCTCTCTCTATCTCTCTCTTTCTCTCAGATAATTTGACTTTCGTTCTTCAGAGACGTACTAGTAGTAGTAGCACACACACACACACACAGAGGGGGTTTTAGAGAAAGACACAGATTTGGTTCTCTCTTTTTGTTTTCGGTAATAGCTTGTTGCTTCTTGCTTAAGAGTTAAGACTGACTGAGAAATCTGAAGGCAGTGCTGCAAGGATCTTTCTGTGTTGCTTCTTCTCCGTCTTCTCCTCTCTCTCTTCCAGTATGATCTCTCTCTCTAATTAACTTCAAATTAAACTACTAGTCGTATTTTTAAGAAATTATTTTACTTTGTAGAAAAAAAAATACACACTCTCACACAAATCTACTACAAATAAATGTCACAACTGAGTTTTAAAAATAAATAATGATCACTAAAAATCGTAGTTTAGCTGGAATGAATGATATAACAATCGTGTGATCAAATGGACTGAGTTTACAATACAAATAATTTTTTATGTGAAATGACTGGTCATATTATTTTCCATTTCAATTAACTCGATCTCAATCCCTCTTGAATATTGGTCAGACAAACAAAAATTACAACAGCAAAAAACACTTGTTTCACTCAAGTTTGTGGAAGTAATTTTTTTTTTATTATAAAAAAACACGTTAAGAAATATTTATATTTAAAACCATTCAATAAATGCCGACAACTCTTTTATTATTATTGGTGTTTTCAATTAGTTTTTTTTTTTAAAAAGTCTTTGTATTTAGTAGGTACATATTTTAAAAAAGTTTGTGGAAAATTTATTTAAAAGATTTTACCATTCAGTTCAGTGTGTTGGGTCATGAGAAAGAATCATGTATTTAGCCATTTGTAGCAATTGGGGGGGGGGGGGGAGATGAATGACGTGTCTCAGAAAACACCCTTTTCTTTTACGAAGCGAGAGATCACGGGGAAGTGGAACCGGCCGTCCGCACCGTTTTGTGTCTTTTGAAATGGTGCACTTTACTTCGTTTATTAAAATCATTAATTACCTACAACAACAAAAAATTAGGTCATAAGCTAAAACTCTTTGGAGTAAAATGCATAGAGAGTAATTATATATTATCGTGGTCCTCCTTAGCTTTGGTTTTTTACTTTTTAGAAACATCATTTTTTTCCATAGATATATAGACACTTTGCCTATCACACTCTACTAAGCAAAATATATTTAATAGGAAATTGTCTATTTTGTTTGTTTGTTTGTATTTTTCCTGGTCCCAATTTTAATATGTTTAAAAACTGGAATTATATGAAAGTGTATGATGGTAGATGGTGACATGACATTGCCTGGTGTGACATCCAAACGGCAAATGTATGTACAAATTGAATGTAATCTATAATCTATATAGTTAAAAACAAGAAAGAAAAAGAGAGTGCAACATGGCTATATAAAGTTACTTAATCCTCTCATCCAAACGTCTTTTTGTGTTGTTTATATGATGGTGATATTATTTATAATTACTTGTTAAAAAAATATGTGAAGATTTCTAAAGTGTTTGGTCAAAATATATAAGAAATGAAATTCATACAAGAAAACTTAGGTTGGAAGGGATAATCAATCACATGGGGATCGATATCTCTCACCACCATGCATATGATTCCATGGATGGAGAGCTTTATCGAGGTTTTCGCCTATCACTAGCTATGATATGATCATGCACCTTTCCTTTTCCCGTGCACAACAACATTGACCTACTCTTTCTTTCTTTCTTTTTTACTACTATTTCTTCTTCGACCCCTATTCCTAATTTGTTTTATATAATAAGTATGTCTCCCTTGCTTACTTTGTCATCGACTACAATGTTTAAAACCACTTGGTTTATCAATCAATACTCGATCCCACTAGTTTAAATAACACTCGAGGTTATTATAAATATAAATATCGACGGTTGTTATATAAATATTGATTAGAGTAATCAAGAAACATGGAAAACAGTGTAATTATAGACGTACGAAGAGGTAATAATAGTGTCTTTATTGTATAAAGTCGAGATAACTACTACTCATTTATTTATAGATTTGAACAGATCTAAGATTTTGACCCAAAAAAAAAAAAAAAAAAAAAGAACAGATGTAAGATAAGATGCACACACAGTCACACACACATGAGTGATGACTCAGAGTTTCAGACAAACCGTTGTTAATTAAGGGAAGATAATTGCTTTCATTATCGTCTAAATAACTCACACGTCTGGCCGTTTGATAGTTTATTTGACTTTTCCACATAAATAATTTAGAGGTCGTCAAGAAATCGAGCAGCCAGATCATATATAAAACGTGAGAGAACTCACATAGTGGCGTCCCATAACTATGTATGTATCCATTTAAGACATGACTTTTTTTTTGGTTTCAATATATGTAATTGGATATTTTTAAAATTGCATACGTTTATCGTATCCAATCCCATTTTTCATATGGGTATGTCGCCCTGTGATCATAATGTGCAATAATGTGATAGAACAAAAGGACAACCATATTTACAATGAAAGTTCCAAGAGTTATTGAATTTCATTTATTACACAGTTTCTTTGATTGATATATACATATTGCTACTGAAGTATATATAAATGTCATTAAAAAATTAAATCACTTTTCAACATTTTTTACTAAACGTTTACCGTACGTAGTTGTATGCTATTATTACCGTATTACATTATATATAGATGTATTTTTTTTTTCCTGCATTCCTCCCACAAGTCAATACTCGATGCGCGATACTTGAATAACAAATCAATTATCAGGAACATAAACAAATGCACGAAGTAAATTATCATCAGGATGATATATCCTTGATTAGTCATCGGACTCGATACACATCGCCAAGTGACTAATTAAGTGAGTGCTCCACCAGGCGCCATCAAAGTGATTTGTGTATAAAAGACAAACCATTTAAGTATACAAACTCATTTAATCACATGTACCACAAAAATTTATAGTTAAGTATATTTTTATATGAACTTTCACAATGCGGCCGGCACATCAGCGTTCTCTAATAACATGAATGATATAAGAGCCTTTGATGATCTAATATATTTGTTTGGACAGTCAAGTTGAAAGAAAAGAAAGGTATATAACATTGCTTTTTATCATTAAAATTTGCAAGATAAAAGAGCTAATGGACCAATTTTTTCTCTTAAAAGTAAATATGATAATGGTGACAATTGTTTGACTTTGTTTAGACGGATATATGCTTGTGATAGGAATGTTCAAATATCCAAAAACACATGCACAAAGCAAAAGAGATACACCACATTGACGTGACAAGAGCATTGAGACAAAACTAAGAGACATAATAACAAAAATTGAATTGTTGTGTTTGGTTTTTGGTATTTTGCCAATCTTAAAAGTCAGTGTGTCACTCTCTTCTCTTTTCCTTTCCAACACCAATGTTTAAAACGATTGAGACGTCTTTTTTTTTTTTTTTTTTTGTAAGAAAAAACTTAATAGTAGTATATAAGGTTGTGCTTTTCTTTTGTGTGTTTTCTTATTTCTCGAATAATTTTTTTTTTCTTTTTTCTTGTTGTTGTTAAAGTTATTTGATCTATTGTAACATTAGTATTATGCTGTTATTTATTACTGGTTGTGAGGTTTTAAGATAGATCTTAAGTTTTTGACACGCAAACCATTTATTAAGTAAATATTCATATTTTATTGGTAAGCTGTATTATATAAAAAAAGATTTCATAACTTAAGTTCAATATTAACGCTAAAATAATAATGTCAAGATGATGACAACATTCGAGGAATTAATAAAACTTAAATGGCTTTAACAAACACAGATTCTGTTAGGAGGAAAGAAAGTAATGATGTCAAGATAATGACAACATAGGAAGTTTCAATAAATTAGATTGGTTCAAACAAACACCGATTCCGGTTTAGATAACACTAAGTTTTTAGTTCCACCATATGACTTCAGTTGATAATGTGGTATAACACGACGAAATCGTTTTTTTTCTTTTCTTTTTTTTCGTTCTTAAATGACAATTGTATGAAGAAAAAGCATTTGGACCAACCACATAAAGACTGGACTTACGAAGGGTGCTCTTGTATAACCCACAAAATGACTATAAACAACAATTTGGCGTTTACATTGTCCACGGTTTCGGCCCACGAACTTATTATTGACGAGCTGCCTGAGCCTGAGTAAACTACATATGTCCTGCATACTAGTATATTTCTTGTGTTGCTTTTGAACCTTGGGATCATCATGACTAACTTCTTTTTCCTGGTTCTTCTGTACATTGATCGGGAACTAGTCAAGTCTCTCGAGAATCAGGACAACAAATGAAATATTAGACTCCCTGGACCCAACCAAAAACTGATCTTTCAAACATTCATATCCAAATGGGAGAAAAGAGTGTGTGAAATCAAAAAGCGCTTCAAGGCAAAGGAAAATGATTTCTCAAGGCATTACCCTTCACCTGGTTCTTTAAATAACCCTTTTCATCATGAATCTCTGTAACCTTAGTTATTCCTGTCATTAGCAGCGCAATTGAATTCATATTCATCCTGATATGTAACCACCAACCATAGCAGGACCTGATCAGACTTGAAGATGGTTAAACTCAAACTATGCTCTCATCTGGTTTTAAGTCTGTCACCATTCTCAAAGATTGATGATATGGTTTAGTCAAGCATCTAAAAGAGCTCGTGTCTTTTATTAAGCAAGAAGGGTGGGGTTACATTTCTTACACAGAGGCATGCATACATATATAGATTGTGTCCGGATCCCCTAGGAACAAGAAGAGATCCTACTAAATTACTAATCATCACTTGTCTGAACTTTTCTTAGGAGTAACAGCGTCAACAATGGCTTCCACCTCTTCCTTCATCCGCCCGAGAACACCAGGTCCTTTAACATCACCGACTCTTGTCTTCTCATCAATGTCTTCACTTCTTCCATGAGTTTCGTTTCCATGAAACATCGATTCTCTCTCTTCCTTACTACTTCCATTCACATTTTTCTTCTCTTCTGGAAAAACCAGCAACCCAGATACAGAAACGATCTATGAGATCTTTTTTTAAAAATATAAAATTCTCTTTTTCGCCCAAATTAACCATCTTTTATAGAAACCTTAACAACCAAATAGCTCCTTGATTCAATTACATATAATCTAAATTTGATAAAGAGACTATAAGAATCTATATGGGACATAAGAATCTAAACGACGAAACAAAACGAAAACCATATAATTTTGTGAAATTGATTTACATGTATGTATATTCATAGGAGGGTTTGTATTACCAGAAAGAAAGCTCTGTTTTGGTTCCGTCATGGATGATCTTCCTGGTTCTTTCTTTGATCCTGTTATCGGATTCCCCCTGAAATGTAGATGAAGAATAGAAGAATGTGTTGTTGGGTAAGAGACGACACGATGTGTTCTAATATGAACCGTCCATCTAATCGAACATGAACGGTCTAGATCAAACCCGACACAGATGGTTTTTGTGTCCATAAACTTCTGGGGTTAAAGTTGATATTGTAAAACGTTAAGGGGCTTTAAGAGAAAATTTTAGGAATAAATATTAAAGTTGTACCGTTATTTTAAGAAAATTGCTTTCGTACCCCAAAATTTTCAAATTTCAAACGTTCTTACTTTCTTATTTTATTATAATAGAACGTTCTCTCTCTTCTTCTTTTAAACACTGCAAACTTTTTGTCAACATCAATCCCAATCACACACCCAATTCCAAGAAACAAATCTTTCATTTTTCCCCACATTGCAGTCCTAAAGCTTCAAATTTTTGAATCATTAGCTTCTGAAGTTGTGATTTTTCTTTGTATAATTCACAAAGCAAGGTCTCGAGTTGAGAAGATGGGTGGATCAGGAAATTGGATTAGATCACTAATATCTCATAGAAAACCAGTAGATGATCAGGTAATCTACAAAAAGCCTCCATCTCCGTTGGTTGCTTCTTACTATACAAAACATTTTACGTATGTGTTAATTGTGCAGCACGATAAATTAAGCGAGAAGAGCAGCAAGAAGAAATGGAAGCTCTGGAGGCTTTCATCGGAGAGCTTTACATCTTCTTCTTTCAAGAGCCGAGCAAGCTATGGAGCTTCTTCCTTAGGCTCAGAGCCTCCGTCTTTCTCTGCCGACGAGGCTTTCACTACTGCCATGGCAGCTCTCATTCGAGCTCCTCCAAAGGATTTCTTGGTTGTTAAGCGAGAATGGGCTTCAACTAGAATTCAAGCTGCTTTTCGTGCTTTCCTGGTATCTAACCTCTTGCCTAATCTGTAGTTTAACCATTTCTAAACCGTTTCCTTTTTGTGATTTAACATTTGGAATCATAAAGGTTTGCTCTTTAACATGTGCAAATCAAATTTAATTTGTGTACTATTGAATTCTTCCTTCTAAACTTATTCATTGCGTTTGTGCTGCTGTCTTTTTGCTTCTATAAACTTAATCTTGATCCGCTTGTTCATTGAGTTGTCTGTGATTCTAGCATCTAAACCTTCTCTGCGTTTGTTACCTTTTTCAGGCAAGACAGGCGTTTAGAGCTCTGAAGGCTGTAGTGAGAATTCAGGCAATATTTCGTGGCAGACAAGTTAGGAAACAAGCAGCTGTTACACTCAGGTGTATGCAAGCTCTTGTTCGTGTTCAGTCTCGTGTAAGAGCTCATCGTAGAGCGCCTTCTGATTCAGTTGAGCTCAAAGATCCTGTAAAGCAGACCGAGGTAAAATATAAATCATCAACTTGCAAGAGTTTTGAGTAAGATTATAAAACATTACTTTTAAGTATGCAAATCTGGTTGATGTTTTTATAGAAGGGTTGGTGTGGTAGCCCCAAAAGTATAAAGGAAGTGAAAACGAAGTTACAGATGAAGCAAGAAGGAGCTATCAAGAGGGAGAGAGCTATGGTTTATGCTCTCACACATCAGGTTGGTAAATGTAGTTTCAGAGCAGAAATTTAGACTGTTCGTTCATTGTAATAATGTCTGATGAGTTCGTTTTGGCAGTCGAAAACGTGTCCAAGTCCAAGCGGAAGAGTGCGCAAGAGTCCTGGTTGGAACTGGTATGAAGATGTAGGGACATTTTCAAGGAAAAGTAGTGAGAGCAGTGTAGTATCTGAATATGAGACTGTAAAAGTCAGAAAGAACAATCTTACTTCAACTAGAGTTCTAGCTAGACCTCCTCTTCTTCTTCCTCCAGTTTCTTCAGGCATGAGCTATGATTCTTTATATGATGAGACATCAACGTCGTCAACATCTCAATCACCAGTTACATTCTCTGGCAGTGTTCTTGATGGTGGTGGATACTATCGAAAGCCAAGCTATATGAGCCTGACACAATCCACTCAAGCCAAGCAGAGACAATCAGGATTATCTAGCAATGGAGATGCAAGACGCAGTGCTGGTTCAGACCAGTGTACTGATCTATACCCACCAGGGATAGTAACTGGAAGACATGTCTGGGCCAAGAGCCAGCGAAGCTAAAAGAGTGAGCAATGATGATTCCTATTTAGTCATTTTCAACAGCCTGTTGGTTTTCTATGTCTTGCTTCGGGTAAGGTTCATGTGAGACTTATACACGAACTATAAATACAGAAACGGCTTCTGTGTACCATTTACATATAAGAATATTGATGAGAAGTTATTTGAGCTTGTATTTTGGCTACTTAGGCCACTTCTGAATAACTTCGATTCTGAGTCATTTTGTTCCTCCTTGTTTGTCAAATCTTCACTACGGATGCCTTTCACTGTTTACTTGCATATTTCAAGAATTAAGGTAGACTTGTAAACAGAATATATGGAAAATGGTAACTGGGAACTTGTTTGAAAATTTATATTGTGAGAGAAGGTAAAAAGAGTCAGATACAACATAGTAAATCTTAATCAGATGAAATCATCCACGACTATGATGGTGGAGATGGGTGTATGGAGAACACTGATCAGCTTAAGCTTATTGCTTAAGAGGAGCTTTCTTCTCTCGGTCTGCAATTCTAGCAGGGGCGTTTGAGTGTGACTTGAACCGGCCTCTACCGCCTTCGTCTCTCTCCTAAATATTCCAAGATATGAAGTATAAGTTAAGTAGTCTCATAATGGAACAGAGATCAAAATTCATAGATTTGCACGACTAGCTTATGTGAATGGATAGGGATATAATTCGTTTATGTACCTTTTTCTTGACGATCTGAACAACATCTTCATCTTCAAGATGTTGAGAAAGACCACAATTCTGAGGATTGTGCCTTGCGCTTGTGCCCCAAACGAGTGCATACTTCATATCCTTCACGAGAGTCCTGTGGACGTGGTTACAGAAGTCTTCCACTGTGCAGCCACCTCGATCCTGATGAATTACAAGTAATCAAAGATGAATATCATAGGTACGGAAGGTTTTCTTGGGTATCTTGCAATGAGAAAAGAACAAACTTACAGATGAGAGGACAAAAGGCTCATCAAAATCTGGTTGCTGGCCTTGCGGCTTTGAGTAAACTCTCACAAGGCCCATTTCATCCCACATCCTTGCAAGTAGTCTGTCTAAGTTTAGCTGTTTCAAGGAGCAGTAAAATATGAAACTCAGAAAAAAAATGGAAACTAGAACAGAACTGGAGTTATAGCATTTACATCCTTGCAGATCTAAGACTACTCTATCGAAATGTTATAAAACTTGCCTTTAGATTGCAGCTAATAACAATGGAATTTGGCTGCCGCGATAGTCTATCCACATCATCAATTCCAACAACATCTATTTTGTTGTAGACATATACACACTTAATATATTTGCGGTTGCCTTCAATGACATCGATAAAGTCATCCACTGTGGCATTCTCACGGAATAGCACCTGCAAAACTCCTCACCACAGCAGATACTACGATAAGAAAGCTTTTAAAAACTCACAAATGTCTGAGGCTGAACTGATAGAAGTATAAAGTTTGAACCACGTACCTCAGCATTGTGAATCTTGTATTCGTGCAGGATTTGATAACAGAGCTTCTCATCAATGTGAGTCAAGGGCGCTGTAGTGTTGAAAGAGATTCCACCAGTCTTTTTCTTTTTGAAATATATCTGGTAAACAAAGAAAAGAAAAATATATATATAAATCACATTCTACAGGAAAAGAAACCAATATTCTGGATGGAACATCAACATGCCATGTAAATGAGAAGGAGAGTCTTCACAGACTATTCAATGCTACATCTATAATTTAACACTGTAGATAAGACAAGCTTTACCTGTGGAGGAGTTTTGTTTAGCCGCAAGCCCACTGCCTCAAGTTCCTTAGTCAGAATTTGCCTGTGGCCTTCACTCTAACAATTTTTGAAGAGCAAAAAAGCGATTAATAAATGAGTGCATCATGACAAGTAAATAGCAATTCACATGGAAAACTAAACCATAACTCACCTTTGAGGCATCAAGAACCATCAACACAAGGTCGGAAGACTTTGCAACAGCAATGACCTGAGATATTAGCAGTCATAATCAAAGTTTGTATCATCTTGATTATATTTTTCTGATTGGTGAGAAACTTAGGAATCAATCATAAATATTTAACTTGAGCACCCTAAAAAGAAATCAGATAACCAAGCAAGAAATTAATTCCAACCTGCCTTCCTCGCCCTTTTCCTTCCGAAGCACCTTCGATAATCCCAGGAAGATCGAGAAGCTGAATCTTTGTGTCATTGTAGTGAATTACACCAGGGATGCATGTAAGTGTTGTAAATTCATATGAGGCTGCTTCAGAATGAGTTCCAGTTAACATAGTCAAAAGCGTGGACTTTCCGACACTGCAAAGTACAACCACTTCCATCAGCTTTCCCAAACCCAATCCAGCAACTTCTTTAGGAGCAATATAATATAGCCAAAAGGGGAAATATATGTGAAATGGGTCTTGTGAGCATAATTATCAATGACATTTAACCTTGGAAATCCTATTAGTGCAACACGTCCATGACCATACTTGGTAACTTCAAAACCTTCCCCACCTCCACTAGCACCCTGTTAAAGGAATTTGGAAGACAATTACAAACTAAAAGCAGTAATGAGACTCTAGTTCAGGTACAAGAAGCACAGGTACATTTGGTCACATAGCAGGAAATTCCTCAGTAGGTTATAGCCCTAATCAGATAAGCTAGGAAGACGAATGAAAAAGTTGCACACCGTCTATTTGAGTTGTATACATACAGCAATAGCAAAGAAAAGTATAACGATGACCCGAGTAATAAAGGAAAAAAACACGTTTCGAGAATCACTCAGGTCTATAGAAATAAGCGTATAGGCTAATGGTTTAGTCAATCAATTATTAAGAACTTGCATTACTTTTGGAGGCTCTAAAAGTTGTGTCCTGAGCTTTGCAATCTTTGCCTTGAGCTGACCAAGATGATACTCTGTCCATCAAGCAAAAACATTATCAGTTAGCTGACAGTTATTCTGTTAATTTCAGGAAATGTCAGATCGGAAAAGGAGAACATAAGCAGCAAATGAAAAATGTCAAAGCTACTATCTGGCATAAGTATCTATTATGAATTTTAGAGGATCGTCATCCAGATTCATCTCCTAAGGTGAACAGCATGAAAATCCTATATGTGAAAAGAGAACCTGTAGCTTTATTCTTTTGCGTCCGAGCCATCTCGGCCTCGATTTCTTTAATCCTTTCGATGATCCCCATTGTGTTTTAGTTGTTTCTGCTAATATCACTAAAGAGAAGAAAAGACAAAGATTTCAGTTTCTAAACTCACAATCAGACACGTAACGACAATCAGATAGTTCAGAGATTATCATATAACTCAAAAACTGCTGAGATTGGTATTTTAAAGTCAGAGCTAAATTAAACTCGAAGAATAAATCAAAAGCATAAATTAGCATAGCAATCAAAAACGAAATCCACCCAATAAAGAATATCCAAAACGAAGTTTTCGATAAAAGACAAAAGCTGAGCTCTTGACGTCAACTGTGTAATCGAAACCAAAAAAAAAAAAAAAGGCATGTCGGGACATCGATTCCCAACATGAATTCTATCAAACCAGCTCGAAAAGGAAGATACATGTAAAGATATGCGATTTCAAAAATACCTAAGTAGCTAAATCAAAGCCTCTGCATGAATAAGTTGGAAGATTTGATGTGCGACTCACAGTAGAAGTGGTGAAGGCGATCTCCGGAGAAGTGAGGGAGAGAGATAGATGGAGGGACGAGAGAGAGCACGCCTGTACAAAGAGCAATAGGGCGCACAAAAAAAATGTTATGGGCCGATTTTATTGTATTTTAGAGCCCAAAAGGCCTACTTTCACATTTGATGCTCTTATTTAGTGAAACGGTGCGTTTAACATCAGTATTTAAACGCAGCGATTTTTATTTTTGTGTAAGAAGTTGAATGAATCAACTCATTCGGTAATCTGGTTTAGTTCGGTTTCAAGATTTCGCACGAAAAAGGCATATAGAGTAAGAGAAGCGTTCATATCAATTCTGAACACCAGTTAGTAATCGCGTTTAAATCACAAAAACTACCTGAAAACTACAAGTCTACGAAAATAAAAGAAAAAACCGAGCAGTTCATCTCACATCCACGGCAGTAAATTTATACGGAAAGAAACGCTACAACAAACCGTTTCTTGATCTCTTCACTACTCTAGCTTTGGTTACCGGTGACTGTTTCTGAGAAAGTTCTTTTACCTGCAACATAATCTCACTAGGAATCGCCATTGACCCCTGTTTCTTCAGACCTCCCTGCAAATACATAACCATTCACCGTTTAAATCTTAAACCAAATTTAATTATTGGTTGACTGACTCTGTTTTATGTTAATATCATCTCGGAAGTACTAACCATCCTGTTTGAAGCAGTCTGAGACAAGCAAGCTCTTCGTAAATTTCGCCATTTGTCCTATCAGAGGAGACAGTTGTAGTGTTAAAGAACCAAAAAAAAAAAAAAAGGATAATAATATTTGGGTAGATCGAGTTTAGATTAAAGTTGAACCAACCTTAAGATCCACAGAGGTACGGTACGCCGATGATGAAAATGAAAGCCTTTTGATCTCAGACCATTTCCCTACTCCATGTTTGGACACACCTTCGACAAGTTTTACAACTTCGGAGAGAGTCCAAGCTCGGTGATGCTTCCTTCTAATTGCAATTTGCGTGACTGGTAGATCAACGCTATTATTATCATCTGAGCTATCTCCAGGTGAGTCTAAGTTCTCTGGCTCCGTGATGTCTTGATCCACTTCATTAAAAATTAGTTTTAAATGGTCCTTCCTGCTCTGATAGCAAAATATAGATAAAGCAGTGAGAAATTGTGTCATACCAAAAATCCAAAATATTCTTAAATAGATGATAAGACAAAGACTATTAACAAACCATCTCAAGTAAAAAAAAACACTTAAGTTAAGAGCGAGTGAGACCGTTTTCCTCAAAGTTTAAGGATTACTTTCGAGAGATATAATAGCAATATGGCTTACATATTGACAAAATTCTATCCGCTATAACAGAGATGCTAAAGTGATCTTACTTCTTTCTGGACAGGTCCAGAAGCAGATTTGACACCTGAAACTCGGTTCACATCATTGTTCCACTGAGATGGACTTAGATTTAGGTTACTCTCATCTGGAGTACCTTTCACCTCCGATGACTTGGAATGAAATTCCTACAAAATGTTCAGGCAAACTAGATAAGTTCTTCTCTATTCCTTTTTTTCCAGTGTGTGACAATAGGCATAGATCATCTAGCACGGGCCAGATATAAAAAAAATATTGTGATAGCTCATGTGAAAAGGAATATGGTTAATAAAGATATTGAAAAGAAAGAGCAATAGAGTCGTACCCCCAGAGCCATTATGTTTTCTCTTGGACGGCTTCTCCTTACATGAGAAACATAGGGAACCTGAACTCTGGAACCAGCAAGGGATACCATCCTGGTGATAACAACTCTCCCTCCTGAAGAAACGGCTTGAATAGAGCTCTGTTCTTTTGAAGGGATCATTGACTCATCATTTTGCTGTTTTTCATCGGGTTTTGAAATTTCTTCAATATATCTCCTAGTAGGCTTCCTAACTCTTTTTGCAGACCTATATTCACCTTCAAAATCTTCATTTCCAGAATAATGGTCCACAAAAGTTTCAACAGGACTATAACCAAAATCATTTGAATGTCCCTTTGTGCAATCAGGACTAGATGGCGTATCTTTGCTTTCAGTAGCTCTTTCTTCATCTACTGCATCCTTGCTAAAAGCCTCACCTGAATCTTGACCTCCACTAATCAGTTTGTTATTAGCTATTGTCAGGCTAGTTGTTGGTACAACACATGAATTAATCGATCCCAATGTGATCCTCCTTTTCAGCCATTGTTTGTCCTTGCAAGTAGTTTCACGACCAAACTTTGCTCTGAATGTTTCTTGCAATGCTTTGATTGAAAGATTATCCAAGTATGTCTCGCCTGCTACTCTAGAAAATTCAGTTTGCGAGGCAGCAGTTGACAAAGCAGGTTCTTTAGGACTACCAGTAGCATTTAAGTATGGTGACACATCCCCAGATTGAATCATACTACATCCATTTGATGGAAAAAGAAGTGGTTCCCGCAGCAAATCTTCGGATTGGACTTGCTCTTCATTCTCACACAGCACACTAGTAATCTTAAATTGGGTCTCTGGAAGAGCAATAAGCATCTGTGACTGCAAAAGTTTCAACGGTGAAGTAAAATTGATGGATTAAACAGCCATCTTATACAAGATACTTATCATACAAGAAACAATATTAGAAATTTATGTTTCTAGAATTTGAAGAAAGAAAACAGACCTCAAGTCGAGAATTCAAATTTTCTGTATTTGCCTCTGCAGTTTCCGACTCGAATAAGCCTGGTTTCAATAGTTATGTTGGATAAGCCAGGAGGCACAAATGATTACAAACTACAAAATAATTGACAGTCCTAGACATCACATAGGGATACAACAGGAAACACATTTACACATAGAAGCCTCCGACATTGCAAGTAAACCAATAAATACCCTTTTCGTGCAGTCTTAAGGAATCCTACTCGCTATTTTGTGTATGCAATTAGTCTTTCCCAAAAATATAGGCACATTAGACAAATTAAACTAACAAAAGCTCAAACAGGAGTCATTCAACATGCATAATAAGCTTAGAGTGAAAAAGACAAACCTTCGAAACTTTCTAGCTGCAGAAATTGAGAAGGCGACCCTTCATCGAGAATGTCCTCAGTAGGTATAGGATCTGGCAAAACAGGCATATCATTCTCGTTGTTCTTAAGTAATTCTTTGACCTCCAACATTTCTTCATCAGTTGCAGGAACTAGTCTCCCATCTCCTGCAACCTAAAGCATCCACATAACCAATCTCAAATAAGATAACAAAAAGCTAAAACTTATAATTCGCAGTAGTCAGAATTCTCAATTCCAGGATCAGCAAAAGCATCAAATTTCTTAATTCTATAACTCTCAGAAACACATTTATGAACATACCCGCACAAGCTTGTAAGGAACAGGATTTCCAGTTTGATTTCTTGAAGAGAGTGATCCACTTCTTGACTGGAAAATACTGTCTCGAAACATCTCTTCATAGTCTTCCACAGTTCCAAACATTGTTTCCAAATAGTAATCTACTGAATGCAACTTCAAGCGTACAAACTGAAATCACCAAAAAAACTAAAAATAATAAGCAAATAAACCTATCTACAATATATTATCAAAAATAAGAACAAATTTTACACAATACCATAACTTTATACTCAAAATTCAAGTTTCACCCTTAGAAACATTCAACGAGAGAACAACAATATCACCTCTTGGAAATAATAGTAAAAAGGTTTCGAATTTTTTTTGGGGGTAAACCAAAGGTCTCAAATTTGAGCTACTCTTTTTCAAATTTGCAAGTAGCAGTCCTCAGAGTCATGTTTTTGACAGATTCTACAAATTTTAACTCCGAATACACTAAATTAAACAATCCCAACACTGAAATTTCACGCTAGAAACATGTAAAAGTAACAAAAACATCAGCAAACCCAGTAACGAATACACCAGCGAGTTACCTGAGAAAGTAGAACGCGAACGGAGAAGAAAAAACTAAACTTTCCAGTGAGCTCGAAATTTCATCGGAGGAGGAGCTTCTTGACTAAGCAAAAAGGTTGGCAATTTCAGAAAATTTTTGTTCTGCTTTTTTTTTTTTTTTGGCTCGCTTTCGGCTTTTTTTTCCCTAATACAGTGCAACACAGGTCCGGATTCCAAAGTTATTTATTCGCTCGATTTCAGAATGCCAATTGGGATCCGCATGGTTTTGCGGGAAGCTCCTAGATTTTGCCACGTCATCAAATAACGAAATATCTGCGGAAAAAGAGTGAACTGCGTTCCGTCCCGACTCTCGTGTACTGCAACTGCGTGTCGTCTTACACTTCCGTATTTGGATTACGTGTCGTCTTAAAGCTCAAAAAAAACTGCAACCATGAGAATCTCGCATGGTTTGGATTTACAGAAACAGGCAATGATTGGATATCAATGAAGAGAAGACCAAAAAGGAGAAAAACAGAAGAATCAAAGTCGAAATCTTGTGTAAACTTTACAACAAGTTTCTTCAATGTATAAACCAACAATAACTAAGAGCTCTTTTAAACTGAAAAATCAACTTTCCATATAGGCTGGTTGGTTTAGCTATCATTTCAACATAGACATTACAGAAGTAGAACTCAACTCTCCTTGTTTCTCCTCAGTCAATAAGCTCTGAATATGAATCTACGATGACCAACTTAGGTGTTCTTGATAATATACTAACCGGATCTAAATCTCTTTTGGTTAGCTTTCCCATCAGACTTCAAAGTTCCACTAGATTCACCTTCTGATGAAGCATCCACTGATCTTGCAAAAGAATGAGAGAGGTCACCGTAAAGGCTAGCCACTCTTCTGATATTGTTGTTGAGCTCTTTAATCAAACCCACGTTTCGACCCAAATTTTCGGGCTGTTTCGACTCGTGGTTCTGGTTGATCTCGTTGATCAGTAACCGGTTCTGATCTAAAATGTCTTGAACATCCACAAAGCTCTTCTGGAAACTCTGCAACAATTTACCATCCATATTGTGTCTGTCTCCAAATCCTGACAATACATCTCCTTCCATTCCCTGTTTTCCGGACAAGACCGAAATCTTGATTGATCTTTTAATTCCTGTAAAATGGAAAGCCAAGAAAAAGGATCAAATTCACATAAAAACGTTGACTAGAAACAGTTTCAATAACACAAGATGATTATTCTCCATGCGTTGACCTGACCCTATCTTGATTTCAGAGCTCTAATCCATTTAATCTCACATAAGATTCCACTACTAGTACACAGGCTTTTCCAGTTACAATCCAATATTAAATACCCTCAATTTCAGACAAGATCTCAACAGGATTCAGCTTAAAAAAGTCATGATTCGTACAAAGTGAAGGAAAAAAACAAAACTTTGTTCTTATGAACCAAGAGGGAAAGAGATCTATAAAGGTGAGAAGTAAAAGCTGGCCCAGAAATAGCCTTAGTAACTTCACAAAAGTAGAAACAGATTCAGATAAGATTAGCAATCCTCAAAAATTCAAAACACCCAGAAACCAAAAGCAAATGCCATAATCTACAAACCCTAAACAAAAGACGACAAATGAATACAACCGAGAATTGATAAAAGTTCCGATCCAGTTTCCTTACCTTCGGAAGTAGAAACCAAAACAAAAAAAAAGCTCCGATGACTGATTGGAGATGGAGATAGAGAGAATATTATTCTCGGGAAACAAACAAAGAATCTTCTTTTTTATCGATAATTTTATAGGATGACAACAATTATTGGCTACTGTTAAAAAAAAATCTACTTATGTCTTTTGAGACGGAGATATTTGAACCCCTAAACCTTTACGGTCAAAGAAAATTTCCCTATAAAAGAAAAATATCTTTTTGCCTGTACTTTGCTCTGAATCTCGATTTTTGCAGAGATACGGACGGAGGTTGGAGAAGCCAGACATCTGGATCCGAAGCTTGTAAACCGGACCCGTAAAAAGCTTCGTGCTGTTTTTGGCTACTTCGGTTAAACAGCATGTCGTTTCGATTTTAAATAAAACGCCACGTAGTTTACATGCGTGAGAAATCAATCAATTTTTAACCTTCTGACGTAGGGGCATTCTCGTCACATCCTTTTGTCTCACTCTCACCCCTAATTTACCTCGTAATTGTTTTTTTTTTTTGGTATTTCGCAGTTCCATGAGATTCGATCCCGACACCAAGAACTCGGCGTGTCTTTCTCTTCGATCGTCCTCCGATCCCGCCATCTTCGCCTTACTCTAAATTAGTAAATTCCCAAACCTCTCCGTGCGAGAATTTCCTGTCGCCGGCAAAATCGTCTGACCGACTAATTTACCGGCGGAAGATTTTTCCGTTCACCTAAAACCTAACGGAGTAACTTATTTGGATGATGAGAAATGGATTCGATTGTATGCACGGCACTAGAGGAGATCTGCTGTCAAGGAAATACAGGGATCCCTCTCGTTTCTCTCTGGTCACGGCTCTCTCCTCCTCCTCTTTCTCCTTCCGTCAAAGCTCATGTCTGGAGAAATCTTCTCGCTGTCCCTCAGCTCCAGTTCAAGGCGAAGAACACTCTGTACGAACCATCTAATGCTTCTATTCAACTGCTGGAAGAGGCTCTGAGACTCGACTTGAGGATCATCGCCAATGAGAAGCTCCGAGGCAACTTCGTTGGCTTGTACGATGCTCAGTCCAATAGCACGACTATCTCTGCCATTCAACGCCGCGTTCTTGAGCGGCTCGCTGTTGCTCGGTCAGCAAATTCTCAGCTTTTTCTCTTCTAGTTACTCTTTAGAGTTCGAGTTATGGTAATAGTATGTAAGTACAATGTATGTGTTTGATGCAGAGCTAATGGAGTTGCACAAAATGTGCTTGCTAAAGAGTTTGGTATCGAAGGGAGGAACTTCTTCTATATCGTGAAGCACCTTGAGTCTCGAGGTTTGGTTGTTAAGCAACCAGCCATTGTGAGAACAAAGGAAGCTGATGGTGAAGGGGATTCCAAAACCACCTCATGCATTAGCACCAACATGATTTACTTAAGTCGTTACGCCAAGCCTTTGGGTTCCCAGCAGAGGTTTGAAATTTGCAAGGATGACTCTTTGTTGGAGACACCAATGAAGGAGCAAGAAGCTACTCCCGCTGGAGATAGTTTACTCTCTGAAAGTACTAAAGAGGATACGCTCATTAAAGATTTTCTCCCAGCAATGCAGGCAATTTGTGATAAACTTGAAGAAGCCAAAGAGAAGGTTAGTTAGTAAGTGAAATACTTTTCTTTTCTTTTTATCGAGCTGGAGTGTTCTTGCTCTATACTCATTTTCTTTACTGTGCAGGTTCTAGTCGTCTCGGACGTTAAGCAAGACCTTGGTTATCTGGGATTGCATTCAAGGCATAGAGCTTGGAGAAGTGTAAATCTATCTATTTTCTTATCCTCTTACTTTTCATCTGCCTGGAATTGAATATTTCCAAGCAACTTTGGAAGGAAAAACAGACGTGCAACACTTTGCCAATTTAACATATTTTTTCTTCTGGTTGAAATGTCTAGATGCATCTTTGAAAACTTAATCCTTGTTTATTTTCGGCAACATCAGGTTTGTCGCCGGTTGACAGATTCTCATGTAGTAGAGGAGTTTGATGCTGTGGTGAACAATAAGGTGAACTATAATCTACATCGTATTCCATCATTCAAATACATTTCACCATATATTGTGGCCAATTGCCATTATTTTCTGATCTGTTTGTTTGGATATATAACTGCAGGTTGAACGATGCCTCCGTTTGCTAAAAAGATTTTCAGCCAAAGATTTCAACTACTCTGGGAAAAAGCAACTTTTGAAATTCGGAAGGAGTATTCAGAAAACTGAACAAACGTTGGAGCTTCCAATAGATAATCAAATTTATGATATGGTTGATGCTGAAGGATCTAAAGGCTTGCCTGTGATGGAGGTAATCATATGATGGATTTGGCTTACTGTTTTGCAGAGAAAACTACTTACTTGACTGAGCCGTAATGTTTTCAATATTCCCAAAATGTCTTGACTGAATTTTTTTTGAAAAGAATATTTGGGGGGCTACAGTGTGTAGTAATTATTTTATTTTACCAGGTATGCGAAAGACTTGGAATTGACAAGAAGAAGAGCTACTCTCGGCTTTATAGTATTTGTTTAAGAATGGGGATGCATTTACAGGCAGAAAGCCACAAGAAGACTAGAGTATTTCGAGTTTGGACTTCTGGTAATGCTGGGTCCGAGTGTTCTGATCTGTTTCCTGAGAAAGCTGAAAGTCTTAGCAGGGAAAATAATGTACCAATTAATGATTTTGGCACACCTCATGATACTGGGGGATTGACTCAGACCTTCACTGAACACAGTCTTGCAGTTGCTGATGCTGGTTTTGCTACACCTGCAAGGTTATCTGATTCTGAAAACAACTCAGGAGTTCTCCACTTTGCTACACCTGGAAGGCTGACTGATCCTGAAAGCAATTCAGGAGTTCCTGACTGTTCCCCATCTAATGTCAAAAGAAGAAATGTCCTCACACGCCGTAACTTACAGGAATCATTTCATGAGAGCTGTGATAAGGTTGTTGATGCTGCAACGGTGTCTTCTGATTTGGCTTTGTCAGAACTGAACCATCTCGGTCTACCTCAGCCGGCTAAACTAAAGGTGCACCAGCCTCAGCCGATTACCGTTGAAAACTCTCGAAGAGAGCGGAGAATACTTGAGCGCCTAAATGTACTTACTGTTCTCTTCTATCGTCATCGCATGCCATAATTTATTTCTCCTTTTCCCGTCCAACTGACTATTTCTTTGTTCTTTCTTGGCTGACCAAAGGAGGAGAAATTCGTTGTGAGAGCTGAGCTACATAAATGGCTTCTCAGTCTTGAGAAAGACAGGAGCTCCAAAGTGGATAGGAAAACCATTGACAGAATTCTAAACAGGCTTCAAGAAGAAGGACTCTGCAATTGCATGAACATTAGTGTCCCAAATGTTACGAATTGTGGTCGTAACCGTAGCTCTGTGGTAGTTTTTCATCCATCTGTTCAAAGTTTGACTCCCGACATAGTTGGTGAAATTCATAGTAGGATTAGGTCTTTTGAACTGGGACTCCGTGGCCAGAACTTATCGAAAAGAAAAAGCAACGAGCCAATTCCTATATTGAATGACGTTCAGAGAGGTCAAACTAATGTGGATTTGGATGCGCGTGCTAGCAAATCAGGAGCCATGCGAGCCAATGGGTTTGTGCTTGCAAAGATGGTTCGTGTGAAGCTCCTACATTGTTTCCTTTGGGACTATTTTAGTTCTTTGCCTTGCTGGGACAATGCCTTTTCTTCTATACATGATCAGAAATTTGAGAATTTGTTTGCACTTGAAGATGCTTTTAGAGCCATGCCACTGGAACTATTTTTACAAGTTGTTGGATCTACTCAGAAAGCTGATGATATGATGAAGAAATGCAAACAGGCTATGTGTCTTTCTGAGCTTCCTGGCGAAGAGTATAAGCTTCTAATGGATACACTTGCGACTGGGAGATTATCGATGCTGATTGATATTTTACGCCGGTTGAAGGTACTATTATTTATTAATAATTAATATCACCTCAAGTATCACATTTCTGTTCATATTTCAGGAAGTGTTTGCAGTACTAAAAATGAATAATTCAATTGCATGTGCCAACTTTGATTTGTAGTTGATTCAGATGGTAAGTAGTAGAGTCAGACACGATGGAATTGAGGAGAAGTATGCTAATCTAACACATGCAATGGAGCTTAAGCCTTATATAGAGGAGCCGGTGTTTGTTGCTGCTACATCCAATGTTATGTCTCTTGATTTTCGTCCACGTATTCGGCATGACTTTATTCTATCAAACAGAGATGCTGTTGATGAATATTGGCTAACTTTAGAATATTGCTATGCTGCTGCCGACCACAGAGCTGCCAAGTTAGCTTTCCCGGGATCTGTTGTTCAAGAGGTATAAGCTTGATATTTATATAATGGCTTGTTATATATATAACAACCGAGTCCATGAAAGTAAAATATTATAACCTACTTAAAATATGTATGTATGTTATGCGTATGTAGTACTTCCCATCTTCCTGTTATGTTAGGTAATCAGAAAATTGTTTCTAACTGACGGATCTTCTAGGTATTTCGTTTCCGCTCTTGGGCCTCAGATCGTGTCATGACAACAGAACAGCGTACTAAGCTCTTACAGCGTATTGCAAGCGATGAGAAGGAAAAACTCTCATTCAAAGAGTGTGAGAAAATTGCAAAGGATCTGAACCTGACCGTAGAGCAGGTAAAGATATGTTTTGTGTGTACTGTATATATTGACATATTGTCTAGGTCACCTGGCTACTTATTAGGAAAAATATATATTTGTGACCAGGTGGTACTTTGCCAAATAATTTTCTTATTGTCCTTGATCTTAGAGATCATGCGGATTCTTGATTTCTTCAATACTTCAGCTTGATTTCCGAATTTAGGCTTTCTCATCTCTGGTCCACAAGCAGAGACTAACCTGAATGTTCTCTTTTTTTCCTCTTATTTTTTGGGTGTGAGGTAGCTTATAGTTTTTGGTTGCATACTCCAGGTTATGCATGTTTATCATGCGAAGCATGGAAGACGCTTGAAATCCACATCAAAAGATAAAACATTAACTGTAAATAATAGCTCTTCTTCATCTTCTGGGAAAAGAAAGAGAGCAACTCTCGTAAAGACTACAGGAGAAGGTGTCAGATCCATGATAGTAGATGGAGAAAATGTTCTAAATTATGATGCCGTTGATGCCTCAAATAGTGAGAATTTTCAAAATTCATGGGAAGAGGACCAAACCCCCATTCCGATGCATCAAGAGCATAATCAACAAGAAAATGCAGATATCAGAGATCTTACTGAAAATGAAGGCCAGTGTTCTTCTATTATCAACCAGCATGCAAGTTCAAAGACCACATCAACTCCTTCACAAAGATTCTCGTGGACAGAAGAGGCAGACAGGTACGTGACACATTCAATGAAAATTTCAGTAGTATATCTGTATGATTACATTAAATCTTCTCCTATCTTAAATATTTTAGTATATCTAATTAATTTTCACCACCGACACAATTGTTTTCTGGTCAGGAAATTATTGAGTCAATATGTCAGACACCGCGCAGCTCTTGGGGCGAAATTTCATGGAGTAAACTGGGCTTCAGTTTCAGAACTGCCTGCCCCTCCTTTGGCTTGCAAGCGACGGGTTCAAATATTGATGAAGAATGATAAATTTCGGAAGGCGATCATGAGGCTTTGCAATCTGCTCAGTGAGCGTTATGCAAAACATTTAGAGACGCAACAGAAGTGTTTACCAGAGAGCAGCAGGTCACATGTTCTTGTTAGATGTATATCCCCAGCAATTGGTGGAATGGATTCGGGTTCTGTTGAGCAAGGTAAAGATATTTGTTCTGATGAAGAAAAATGGGATGATTTCAATGAAAAGAGTATAAGTCAAGCCTTCACTGATGTTCTTGAGCTCAAGAAGATGGCTAAATTGGTGGCCCCTAAGCGGACGAGACCTGGCTCTCGGGAATGGTCAAACAGAGATGTAGTTGATGAGGTGCATCCTTATTGCCTTTTTTTTCTTTTCACCTTACTGTGATGTTTCACTTTTATTGCTACAACCCTTTATACATCTTTTTACTTGAAATATGTGCCATTTCATTCACCCTGATCTGGAAGGTCTCAGTTTCAGTGATTCTATCGCTTTCGGCAATTTATAATAGACTAAAATTATGAACTCGCAGGGGACTGAAACGGTTCCACCTACAATTCACTCAGAGGACATTCACAATGTGTCTGCGGATCAAGTTAAAGATACATCTCGCAGATCTGGACATTATCGTCTTCATCAACCTGTTAAGCCTTTAGATGAAAAAGACAATGGTGGTATACAAGTACGGAAATCTCTGGCAGTTTCTACTGCTTCAGAACTGTTAAAGCTTGTCTTTCTGAGCATGCCAACTGCACCTGGTATGCCAAATTTGCTGGAAGATACCTTACGTCGTTATTCAGAGCGAGACCTCTTTACAGCCTATAGCTACCTCCGAGACAAAAAGTTCCTGGTAAAATTTTCTTTAACTTTCCTGTTGCTGTGTTAAGAATTTCTGGCTAACTGCCTTTCCTTATATGCTTTTCGGTTGTATGAAGAGGCATATGAGTGTACATATGAAGCTCTATTTCAATAGCATAGCATGTTTAGCATTCTTTTTTTTTTGAACAAAAGCATGTTTAACTATTAAGTATCATATTTTCTTCCTATTTTTTTGGTCCGGTGCTGCTGTCAAAACCACATTATATTCATGTTTGATGTATGGATGAGATGGTGACTAAGAAACAGTTTTCTTCACCTCACTTTGAATCATATTTATTTGTTTGTTCAGAAAAACTTATAATTCTATATTTCTATTTGTAAAAGAGAACTCAAAAGTCATTATTTTTATGAGAATTTTTCAGGTTGGTGGAAGTGGTGGACAGCCATTTGTGCTTTCTCAAAACTTTTTGCACAGTATTTCAAAGTCCCCATTCCCAGTTAATACAGGGACAAGAGCAGCCAAGTTCTCCAGTTGGCTTCTCGAACATGAAAGAGACCTTATGGCTGGGGGGGTCGCTCTTACTTCAGATTTGCAATGTGGCGATATTTTAAATTTCTTTTCATTGGTTTCTTCTGGTGAACTCTCTATATCTGTATCCTTGCCTGAAGAAGGTGTTGGAGAGCCTGGAGACCGAAGAGGATTAAAACGTAGGGCTGATGACATGGAAGAATCTGAAGGTGATAGTGCTAAGAAATTAAAGCTACTAGGCGAAGGTGAAATTAACTTCCGAAAGGAAAAGGGTTTCCCTGGTATAGCAGTGTCTGTTCGTCGTGTAACTCTACCAATAGCTAACGCAATAGAGTTGTTTAAGGATGATGACTCTCGGACTGGTGAACTAAATTTCAAGTCGGGAGAAACAAATAGTGGATGTGATTCTGATGACTTGAAAGAACTTTTTAACTCTACGGATTCTACTGTCTTACCAAGCAGTCTAGGTGGTTCTCCCTGGCAAGCGATGGCCAGTTTTACTAATTGCATTATGTCCGAAGTAGTAGATGATGAAGTGAGTTTATCCAGTCCCGGGGTTTTTGAAAACGTTTCCAGTGCCCTTCAGAAGGCTGGTGATCAAGGTCTGAGCATTGAAGAAGTCCACCGTCTTATTGATATCCCAAGTAAGCATCAGGCAAAGCTCTTTAACAGACTTCTACTTTTGCATGTCTTGATGACTACCTTCGGTGCTGTTAGATAACCTCGGTTAATTCATCTGCAGGCCAAGAAACTTGTGACTGCATTGTAGATGTACTTCAAACATTTGGGGTAGCTTTGAAGGTTTGTCTTATTATCTCTTTTTTGCCTTTATTTGCAGTGCTTGGTTTACTAGTTCTACTTTCCTGGATTGTGAACTCTGTTCATGTTATACATTATTTGACTTTCCTGGACTGTGATCTATGCTCATATTACATCATCTTACAAGTAACTTTTTAACAAGACACTATCTTATTTAGGTAAATGGCTATAATAATTTCCGTGTTGTCCATTTCTTCTACCGGTCAAAATACTTCTTGACATTGGAGGAGGGTGGAACTTCCCAAAAAGGTCCACAGTCTCTACCAGTAAACTACCTGGAAAGAGCTGTTGGGGAACATAGGTCAAAAGATGTTATTGGTAGCAGCTACAGTAATTCACAGGACAAGCAAGAGCATGTCGCTGGGAATAGTGTTCACAAGGTTACCATTCTTAACCTTCCAGAGATGGCTCAAACGAACGGTTTGCTCGAAGCATCTATGAAAGCTCCGTCTGTTAATTTTGGAACGTGTATCGAAAATGAAGGAAAGGAATCAACTTCTGGAAAGTCACCTGTGCCTATATTCCCATGGGTAAACGCAGATGGATCAATAAATAAAGTTGTCTTCAATGGGCTAGTTCGCCGTGTTCTTGGTACCGTGATGCAGAATCCCGGTATTCCAGAGGTAAATACTTGTCCATTTACCATCCGATAAGCTCATACCATCATGGTTTCAAGCTAAATGAAAATACTAATCAAAACATTACATTTGTTGCAGGACGAGATTATAAACCTAATGGACATACTAAATCCTCAGGTAATAAGTACCCTAAACCTCTTCTCCTATGGATTCATATACTGAAACTGATGAAAATCTCTTAAAACTCTTGGTCTCGTTTCTCAATATGTGATGACATTCTGTAACTTTTTTTTCTTTTCAATCTCAGAGCTGTAGAAAGCTTCTGGAGTTGATGACACTCGACGGGTATATGACAGTGAAGGAAATGGTGCAAACCAAATTCACCGGTCCTCCGTCTCTACTGGCCGGGCTTCTCTCAACGGGTCCAAGAAAACCGGAGCTTATCCGCCGGAAACACTTGTTCGCCAACTCCAAGGGATTCCATGCCTTGTAATATTGTAAAATCTCTCTCTCTCTCTATAGTTCAGTCCTATGCTAAATTATTAATGTTATATGGGAGAAACTTATAATATTATATACTGCTAGTTTTCTTTTTTGTGATTTGAAAGTGTTGTGTAGGTTTGATGGTTGGTCTAATGATCAATTCTCTTTCTAGTTTCATGGTGCCCGGGATTCATCTCCCTATTGTAAATTATAGGTTTTATAATATCATTATTACTACTTAGCTGATCTTGATTCTTCAAAGTTTAAACTTTTTTATTTATTATTATCCAAAAAGAGAGCTCAACGTTTAATATTATTCAACAAAAAGAAGATTGGTAATGGGTTTCTTTCGTTTAGTATTATTTAATGAGACGAAATAGTACATCAATTATTTATTTGTAGTTCACTGCAGTGACTGAAATTGGTAAAAAGTTTGTACAAATAAGTAAAATTTAAATGATCAGTTGTTGATTATTTATTTATAGTTTCTATGGTTTACTTTAGCTAACGAATAATTTTAAGGTTTAGTCTGCATGTTAAATTTATAAAACAAAATACAGTAGTAGCATAGTTGGAATAAGTTTAAAACATAATAAGTAAACAATTGAATTACAGACAAAAAGAAAAAAGAACATGAAAATATTAGGACAATGGACATATGTTTGAATTTACAGCAGAATCTTACGACTGCACACAATTCATCACTTTGAGTAACGAAACTGTTTGACTTTTTTTTAATAGATGTGTTGAGTTGAGATTAGTTGATCAAATGGGAGAGTACTAAAAAAAAGTGTTTAAAAAGAGTTAGTTGTGTGAGAGTCTGTGAATAATGAAACACACACAAAGAGTTTAACACTTTACAGTACTCATTCGATCATCTTCCTTTAAATCTACATACGTGTACGGCTCAGATTATTCCATTCTCTTAATCCCACCGGAAGAATATTATATAAAAAAACCAAACAAAAGACGATATTTATTTTCTCGGTCTAAGTTTTTTTATTTTTATTTTTATTTTTCTGGGGAATTTTTTTTTTTTGTTTACGATTTCATGAGAGAAAAGAATAAAATCGACAAGAAAAACCTCTCTCTCTCTCAAAAGAAATACAAAGCAAAACATATTATTAGTTTCTTCTAATGGCGGAACCAATTCCATCATCATCGGCTCTTTCACCGAAATCACTGCAATCTAGTAATCCTATGGAAGCTTCTCCTGCATCCTCTGCACCTCCACCTTCTTCATCATCTCAGCAACAGCAACAACACATGCCAGCTCCTCCGATTTCGAATTCTGTTAATTCGGCTGCGTCTCCGGCGATGACTGTTACTACGGCGGAAGGTGTTGTCATCCAAAACAATTCGCAACCCAACAATATCTCCTCTCCCAACCCTACTTCGAATTCGAACCCACCCGCTGGACCTCAGATCCCGTCTCCTTCTCCTCTCTCTCATCCTTCTTCTTCATCTTCTCTGGATCAGCAGCAAACTCAGGCTCAGCAGCAACTCAATCATCTTCAGCAAAACCAAAATCAGAATCAGCAATTGCCTCAACAACAACAACAGATTATGCAGCAAATCTCTTCATCTCCGATTCCACAGCTATCGCAACAACAGCAGCAGATTCTTCAGCAGCAACATATGAGCCCACAGCAAATTCCAATGTCGAATTACCAAATCGCTCAATCTCTTCAGCGATCCCCTTCTATTTCTCGCCTCAGCCAAATTCAGCAACAACAACAGCAGCAACATCCAGGTCAATACGGCAACGTTCTGAGGCAGCAAGCTGGCTTGTACGGGACCATGAACTTTGGCGGCTCAGGTTCTGTTCAACAGAGCCAGCAGAATCAGCAGCTGGGTAACCCTAATTTGTCCAGAGCAGCTCTGGTTGGCCAAACCGGTCACTTGCCATTGCTTAACGGTGCAGCTGGAGCAGCTGCTCAGATGAATATTCAACCCCAATTATTGGCTGCTTCGGTACTTCATTCCTTACTTTACTCTGTTTCTCTTTTTTTTTTTTTTTGATTCAGTTCTTACATACATCATATAAATATATATTTTTTTTCTGTGCCTCTCGTTTACTTGGATGTAGTGTAAAGTTGTAGCTTTTTATGTATTTTGAATTGGATCTTCTCGCTGCAAATGAGAATGTTGTTGATATCTTCTTACATTGGGATAAAGCTGTTAACAACTAGTGTGATGGAGATGGTTGCAATTGTTTCTTTTTTTATATGAATAGGATTATTATATTCTGTGGTTTCTCCTATTGTGTGAACAAATTCACTTTCTGTTATTTCTGAGACAAGTGAGCTTTCCGTTGTAGCCGAGGCAGAAGTCTGGCCTGGTTCAAGGATCGCAATTTCATCCGGGGAGTTCTGGGCAACAGTTACAAGGGATGCAAGCTATGGGAATGATGGGATCACTTAATTTGACCTCGCAAATGAGAGGTAACCCTGCTCTCTATGCTCAGCAGCGAATCAACCCGGGACAGATGAGACAGCAATTGTCACAGCAAAACGCTCTTACTTCACCTCAGGTATTTGCTTTCTGGCCTACTCACTTACACTTCTTTCTCGTAAATTTTGTACTTGTTTCATTAGCTACCTGTTATCTTATGCCTCATAAAATAGATACAAATGATTTCTCGTGTTCAACGCTTTCCACTTACTTTTGGCTTATTCTTCCCCAGTCTAAGTTGAACTGCCCCATGAGATGTTGGTATTTTAATCACTTAGTATTGGCTTGCAGAGATTCTTTTCCAACCTCTGTAATTGGCAACTAAAATACCTGAATGAGGCTGGAATGATTCTTAAATTTGACAGATTTACCATGTCTTGTAAAACTGACATATGTATCTTTAGAGGTACGGATACATTTATGTTGTGTGAAATGAAAACAAAAAATATATTCTGATCCTTTCGTAAGCATGTGTTTCTTTCTTTTCAAGTAGAATAAGAGTTGATTTAAATTCTGATGTTTCCACTTCACTTGGAAACTTTTTGTGCTCCCCTGTCTAGGTCCAGAACCTCCAGAGAACATCTTCTCTCGCATTCATGAATCCTCAGCTATCGGGTCTGGCACAGAATGGACAAGCTGGTATGATGCAAAACTCCTTGACGCAGCAGCAATGGCTGAAGCAAATGTCTGGAATAACTAGCCCCAATTCATTCCGACTCCAACCGAATCAAAGGCAGGCTCTAATCTTACAGCAACAGCAGCAGCAACTGCCCTCTGGTCAGTTACACCAATCATCTATGTCCTTAAATCAGCAGCAGATATCACAGATAATACATCAGCAGCAGCAACAATCACAAATAGGCCAGGCGCAGATGAGCCAATCCCAGCAACAGCAACAATTACAACAGATGCAGCAACAACTCCAGCAGCAACCACAACAGCAGATGCAGCAACAACAACAACAACAAATGCAGATTAATCAACAACAGCCATCTCCACGAATGTCGAGTCATCCAGGGCAAAAATCTGTCAGCTTAACGGGTTCACAACCAGATGCTACACAATCGGGTACAACAACACCAGGTGGTAGCTCAAGCCAGGGAACAGAAGCAACAAACCAACTCCTTGGTAAAAGAAAGATACAGGATCTGGTTTCGCAGGTGATTGTCCCTATTGAACTCTTCAGCTTGTTTCTATATTCTTATGTTCATCATCATTTGAAAATATGTCTCAACTTTTTGTATTTATGATGTTCAGGTAGATGTACATGCTAAACTGGATCCTGATGTTGAAGACCTCCTTTTGGAGGTAGCAGACGACTTCATTGATTCGGTTAGGAACTAATCTCGGAAATTTAGTATTTATTTTGGTTTTTCGCGTTTTACATATATGTTGAAAACCATCTCTGTCTTACCAATACTTGATTGCAGGTGACATCTTTTGCATGTAGCTTGGCTAAGCATCGTAAATCATCCGTATTGGAGCCCAAGGATATATTACTCCACCTAGGTCTGTACCTAAAACTTTTAATTTAGGTGATGAGCTCTGTTCAGTGTGGATTAAATAAGTAGTTGCTATTGTTTATTCATTTTGCTGCTTTCTGGGTTATAATATATGCAGAGAAGAACTTGCACTTGACAATTCCTGGATTCTCGAGTGAGGATAAACACCAAACAAAAGCCGTAAGTGATTTTCTTTTTAATACTCTCCAAGAACTTAGTATATGTGGATGCGCATGGTTACCTGAATGTCCGAATGATCATTTACACGCACCAAAAAAGAAATGAGTCTGCTAGATATTGATCTCAGGTTGACAACTTGCAGGTAGCAACTGATCTCCACAAGAAGCGACTTGCAATGGTAAGTTAAATGATAGCAATCACATCTCTTGGTGTAGAGTCAAAAATTTTGGACATTTCTCTCAAGTTTCTTCATATGTTGGGTCGCCAGGTGCGTGCTTTACTAGAATCCTCGAAACCAGAGACGAATGCAAGCAACACCAAGGAAAGTATTAGACAAGTGATGGTGAACCCAAATGGTCCAAATCATCTCTTAAGACCATCAGCAAGTTCAGAGCAATTGGTTTCTCAAACGTCCGGTCCTCACATGTTGCAACATATGACACGTTATTAAAGTACTTGAATTTAAAAAAAAGTCTGAGCCAGCTCTCACTGCTATGTTCATCTTCTTGGTAAATATATACACTCGAAAAAAAAAAAGTTACCATCTTTTGAGATTATCGCTGATTGAGTAATCTAATAGTCCTTAATCTTTTGCTTTTTGAGGTTTCAGGAATTTAGACATCAATGGAGAGAGTGAAGGCACAAAAGGTCAAACTGTATGTATTATATATATAATTCACGAGTCTTATAGGTAATCAAATAAAACAATGATTCTTTCATAGTTGGGACTTTCTTCTACTAGCTATTTACTTCTTTTTTTAGTGAGGATTTTGTTTTTGTTCTTTGTGTTTTTTAGTTGACCACTTCATTTTAAGCTTGAAAGTTTTAGTCTTTGGTTAGCATTACGTGTTAAATGATGTCCACTGGTCTATATATATACTAAAATCAAATGCATAAAGATAATTTGGCAGAAGGAGAGAAGTATATACAATAATAGAAATCAAACACTTGTTTGTCCAAAAAGAAAAAAAGAAAGAAATCAAACACTTAAAACAAACGAAGTAATTAAATTATTAAGAGTAGTTGGTGCTTCAACGTTAACAGCGTGGCCAGTTTCCTTTATTACCTCTAGTCTCGAACTCTGTAAATGCCTGCAAAACAGAAGTTAGATGCCGATTATTTTCGACATGTTGAGACCCCGATCGATGTTTTTGACCAAGTATTATAGCAAATGGAAATGAACTATGTACGTAATTTGTTATGGTAACACTTTATGTATGTTAAGTTTAGTTTACCTTTGCAGCCGATAAGCATGCTCCAAGGGGAATACTTTATCTTTGTCACCCCAAACGATTAACGTTTTCTGCATTATAAAAATACCAAAAATTAATCATATGCACATTCATATTTTTAATTCGTAGATTCGTCTATTTTTCAAAATTAAGCATCTTAATCCATAGTGTCCACTACACCTAGAAATAATAGAAAAGTGAAAAGCAAAGAAACAAAAATAGTAGTATCTCCTCCAGTCTCCAAAAACATATAATACTCATAAAACAAATAAATCCAAAACACAAAATTAATCTTCTTCTCATGTCCAAAACACAAAATAAAGTATCAGAAACTCATCAACAAATCACGGCAACTTGTAAATAATTTACCTGTGATATGACAGTCAATTCTGGTTCCTCTTCTCTCTCCAACAAATTCTTAGCTAGTTCAAGAAGCTCCTGTCGATTCTTCTCATACATCACCTATTATAAGAAGAAGAGGACAATTTCATACCTCTAAGTTCAAAATTAAAGAACACACAAACTTACAGGACCAGATTAGCAAATAAACAGAAGAAGAAAAAAAACTTACAGCGATGAATTGGGAAAGAATAAAATCAGGAACCCAGTGGACGTACGTTAAACCGGTGTTCATAGAGATCTTAACGAGCAACCGTAGATCCGTCGGAGTTTTCGGAACAAGAATCCTCGAACAATCTCCGCCGTGTTTTTTCATCTCCGCCGTCTTCTGCTTCTGTGTAAGCCCCACTCCACTGCTCACGATCACCAGTTTCTCGACCATCTCCGGCCATATCTCCGCCATCTTATACGCCACGAACCCACCGTAGCTTATCGAATACACCGACATCCCTCCTCCTCCGACGCAGCCTAAGCCTAGCTTCTTCAATCCTCCGGCGATGCTACTCGCCTGAATCTCGACGCTCCGATGCGGATTCTTCGAGTAAGATTTACCGAAGAAGACCAAATCTGGGATGAAGAGGTTAAACGATTTGGAGAGATCGGAGACTTGATGAACGAATTGCCATTTGGAGTTTCCCCCGTATCCGTGGAGCATGAGGAGATTCGGACGGGAGATTCTACGGTGACCGGAGATCCAGAAATGTACGGTGGTTTCTCCGTCGTCAAGATCGACGGTTACAGGTCGGAGATCGCAGAAGACCAAGAAATAGAGAGATAAGAAGGAGTCGGCGAGTTTGATGAGTATGGGAAAATCGAAGAAACACGAAATCAGGCTTTGGAAGAGACTGAGAACGATTGAGAGGTAACGACGGAAGAGATGAACGTGTTTCATCGACGCCATTTTTAAATTTTTTTAAAAAAAGGTCTGATGAGATCCTTTTTTGGCAGAGAAGAAAGGTGGTGTTGGCAGAGAGAGAGAGAGACAGAGAGAGAGTGTGCTTTTAAACCAATTCGGTTTATTAAGGTTAGCAACGGTTTATATGTGACTTAAACGTGGCAAAGTGCATGCAAAGTGTTTCGACATCTAAGATTTTACTACCCTATGTTCACGTTTTTCATTATATTCTGTTATTTTGTTTTCTACACTAACGAAAACGAAACGAATTTTTAATGCAAAATCTTAAAAATCTAAAGAAAACTAGAAACGAAACTATAGTAGAAGAAAGTCTAAAGTTGAGCTAATTATTAATTACAGCTGTTTTAGGAAGTGTATGTCCTCTCGCATTAGAGCCAGTACTGGTCGATATAGATATACATATACATTCTGTCTCTTTATTTTTTTCTTCTTTACGTCTCAGCTAATTACTAATTAAGCCCAACTCGATTAATTGTAAATCTACGTCATTTGATGAGAATCAGCAAAACAAAGACACCATTTTTTAACAAAGACAGCATTTTTATATCCGTTGGGTCTCTCTTGCCAACTCAAAAGTTCCTATATATGTTTTCTACCAATTAAATTATGTCTTCGGGTCCAAGTTAGGTTTCAACCCAATTAGTCAAGAAGAAAACATTTGTATTCAGCATTAAGCGAGTGTCTCTCTAACGAAGTTGCAAGTTTATATCTCAGCCGGTGTGTGTGAGAACAGCCTGTCTGAGAAGATAGTTTGAGATCCAAGTTAGGTCAGAAACCTGATATATATATTTGAACAAGAAACCTGATATATTATATTTCTAAATTCCAATAAAACCTTTACGAGTCATTTTATCCTGGTATATAGGTTTCAGCTACTTCAAAGTTCAAACTACGTAAGAAATCCCATACAGTATTATATATATGGATTATTTGATCTTGTTTTGTTTAATAAGAAAAAACTACTTATAATCGATATCTACTCATTTATTTACTTGCCATAGTAATGATAATTTGGTTTACAGAATCATATGGAAACACTATTAGGTACACCTCTACAAGTAACACCAGGCTCAGAACTGGGAACCAACAACTCATAAGGCAAAACACCAGCCCCACACCTATTTCTACGGTCAGGATCGGAGTTCCTTCTCTCTATCTCTTTCTCTATCCTTCCTATCTCCGCCGCAAACCCATAGAACGCATCAACGATCTCCGCATCCCCCGTCCAAATCGACGGCTGTTGTCTCTCTCCTATATACTCCTCATCCGGCGAATGCGTCGACAACGTATCAACCACTGCCATAAACTTCGACGTCTGCTCCAAACTCGGCATCGACGAGAAGTAATACTTCTCCGGATCCGAGATAAAGCTCGCGTACTCCGGATCCGACTCGTCTGGGATCAACCGCCGCATCAACGGTGGTCGGTTCGGCACGTAACCTCCGTACGGGTACTGTCCGAAGTTGAGAGCAGCGTGTTGCGCTGAAGCGAGCCAGATTAGGGTGGTGAGTATCGAGACGAGGTCGTCGACGGTTGATAACTCCGGCCACCACTCGGCGTCGCGGAGGTCGGCGTGGCCGACGTTGATAGATTCGGAGTACCAGGATTGGAGCTCAGAGTCTGTTTTGATTAGGTTCGGGTTTGGGTAGTAGCGTTCCACATAGGTTCGGACCCAGGTTTGGATTGCGGACCAGAGTAAAAGTCCGTCGTTGGCGTAAGGATAGTCTTCGATTAGGAGTTTTAGACCATGTGGTTGTGTTTCGTCCGGAATTGCCACTCCTCTGAAAGCAAAAAAAAACAAAGAAATAATAATTAAAACATGTGGTTATGTTTGGTCAAGAATTGTCATCCCCATATATATGACCATACATTTTGAAAAACAACACGATCATGTATGTGTGTTTTACTAATGAAAAACTGTTTAGCTAAACCAACGTACCTGCGAATGAGATCGGCGGGAAGGCCTTCCATGTCGAACCGCCAGCTGCTTTTGTATGCGGCGGCACTCATTTCCATGCCGTAAGCGCCAGCAGTGAAGCCTCCTTCGATCACACCATCTGCACTGATCAACGATTGTCTAGCCAAGGCATTGATTTCCAACGTGTATCTCATGTGTGGATCCAATAGCTTGAATATGGGATGCATAGCGCTCAGTTGTCTATGCGCAGCTATTATAAATGGCTCTAAGCACGCATGGGTCCGTAGCCTTTACAAACAAATATAACAAATACATGTCAGAAATACTCTTTTCTTCACTACTTGATGTATAGATAAAATGTAATGATAACATATAGAGTAAGAGTACTAACCAGTGATTGACAAGCTGATGGACACCAGCGTCGTTAGAACTAACGTGGGCTTTAGCGAGTTGCCACATCCAGTTGGAGGTTGCATCGACCGGAGGTGTCACCACACGCTTGGACCGATGTTTGGGGCCATGTGAAGGGAGGCTTAGCTCAATGGCTACCGGTTTAAGTGTGCCTCGACGAGTCAAGAAGAAAATGGTTCTTGTAGCATAAGCTTTGCGTCCGTCTAGCGCATTGATCCGGTCTAGGAACGGTAAAAATATGTCATGGTAATCCAGCATATACAATCTATTCTCTTCTAACGCCTGAAAATTAATTTACAAAAGACACAAATTAGTTTTATTATCATTTTTTCCTGATTAGTTTAGTTAATCCACTGTTTAGACAAACGTACTTGTTGTACGGAGAATCCGTCGAGGTGACCGATGATGTGGTCGTCAGTAAGAGCGGAGTGTTGTGGACCGTAGACGTTGGGGTCAAGATCGCTGACCGGTGGAAAAGTCTTGACTCTCTCAATGTTCACTGGATTGATTCCAGCTATGGCTTGACGTGCGAACTCGTCATCTCGTAGCCATGCGTTTTTATCCTCTGCATTAATTTATTTTCATTTTCAGAAATCAGCTTATTATTCAAGATTGTGAGTAATATAAAGCAAACGCGCTTCTGTTATATCCACAAAACGAAATTAATTAAGAAAAGCACGTGGAACATATGTTGCTGACTATTTTGTACTCTAGTAATGCGTTTGTCTGCTTTTTGGAACTAACTAAAGGGCTTTTTCTTTTTCTTGGTGGGATATTGATACACAAATGGCCAACTAAAATAAGGTAAAACTCTTGGAAATATTATCAGGGGATGTCATACTTGCATTACTTATTACTATCGGGATATATATGAGTTCAATTTTTTAGTTATAAAATTGACGATGTCAAGAGATTGTTATAAACGTAGTGTGCTTACTCGATAATATTTTGGGAGTGTCGTATTTGAGGAGTCCTTTCGTAGATTCTTGGAGGGTGTCAACGACGACCTTAGGCAAAGGAAACTTCTTAAAGATGTCATCTTGAAACCCTAACTTGAGTAACAAGCCTTCTTTGTAGAGATTATCAATCTCGCCGAAGTCAGCAAAGTCCTCAGCTAGAATACTAGCTTTGAGCGACGGGATTAGGTGGTGTAAGACCGCTTTTAGCCTCCCAGCAGCGAAAGTGTCCTGCTTCGACTCTTCGAACTGCTCGTCTCGTGGCACGTACATTGGTAATGGCTTCTCTACTCGGCTCTCCGCTTCTTTATCTGTCAACAATGCAGATCAATATTAAAGATAATTCATTATGGCCATGTTCCTTTTGTATACGTACAAGTAAGCTATGTTTTTGTTAAAGTTCACAGTGATAGGTATACCAGTAACTGTTGATTGGCGACCGGTACGACATCGTCTAGGGTAAGGAGTCTCTTGGCCGCCGAGTTTGGGGCGAGAGAGTTCCGACGACTTGTCGGGATTTCCAAGGTCGTTGTAAACATCAAAGTCGTAAATTCTGTCTGATAATTTTCTCACGCCAGTCCCATCTCCCCTTAGACTCTTCAACTCTTTCTCCCTCAGTACTCTTAATCCGCCTGGTGTCTCATTCGGCAAATACGGCTGAGAATGATATATTAAATGCATAACGTTAAGTCATTTCTAATCACAAAAGAACATACTTCTATAGTTGGGAGATGTGTATTATTATTATATGGACCCATCAGGACATAGATATACAATTAAGTAAGATTTGGAAAACTGATTAAGATGTGTAATCAATTCGTGGGGGATCGAAAACGACGTGTTTAAAAGATTTCGGGAACCATGATTAATGACTTAATAAATGAGTTACCTGATTAGTGAAAAAGATTCGTTTTTCAGGGTGATCATTTTGGGACTGAACCCAAGAGTTGCATGGAAAGTGAACAGGACCAAGTGCGAAGCCTTCGATGGTTATGCTCTCCAAGAAAAACTCTTTCTGGTGTTTATTCATAACGGTGATGGCTCCCGGCGTGCCAAACGCAGCATCCACCGTGAACTCCGCCGTGTAGTGAACTCTCTCTGCCTTCGTTTTCGATTTCTTTGACCAATCCTTTAAAACCGCCGCATTGCTCTTCTTTGGCAACTTCGTTTCTGTTTGAATCAAAAGGTTTTCTCAGTATTAGGAAGTAGGAACACGATCCTAGAAATGCCCATATAGAAAAAGATTCCTTGTAAAGTAAAAAAAAAAATAGTATATGATTGCTCTGTTTAAATTCAAAAAAAAAAACGAACATACTTGGATCAAGTTGGGTGCTGATAAGCTCCAAGACGATGTTTCTACCGATTTTATCAGCAAAAGCATCGAAATGCTTAGCGAGAGTCTCTTTGAAATCCTCCTTCTTCTTGTTCCTCACAGTAACCACAGCTCTCACCTTAAACTTCACCGCCGCTTTCTCCTCTTCCTCACTCTTTCTATCTCCGGTGGTAGTGGAGAAACGCAGCGTTTTGACCAAATCATCGCTGATGGCCGCAACGACGCCGGATTTTGTCTTTCTTGGTCTCCGATCAAAAGGGTGGATGGAGAGATGTGTCGTGAATGCCCTCTTGTTGAAATGCGACGCGGGTGATACAAGTGATGATGACCTTGATGTGATCAGAGTGGAACCCATCAACTCTTTAGCTGCTAAGGCCATCACGATAGAAGCTAAGTAACCAAATCGATTAAATAATGTGATAAGCTAGTTGTAATTCAACTGAGTGAATCTTGAGGTTACTATTATAGTGAAGGAGAAGAAGGAACAAGGTTGATGTAGGTCGTTGTGGTTTGCTAATAATCAGGCAAAGCGAGAGAGAGGTATATTTATAGAGGGAGAAGTCTTGCCGTCCACACGTTTTTGTTGATTGGACTATGGATCTCGTATACGGCAAAAAGTCATGACTTATATTTTTCCTTAAATAAAATGTGAATACTCAAACACATGGTTTCAAGTAAGCTAATTATTCTTTCTATTTTTTGTCAACTAGCCCTATAGCTACTAGTTTTCAAACTGATTACTCTTATTCTGATTTTGATACCTTTTCCATGATAAATGTCTTTCTCTTAATTATATGTTTTAGAAAAGACGTAATGTTATAGAAATAAGTATAGAATGGTAAATAAAAAAATAAATAAAAAGAATACAAATACCGTTTAACGTGAAAACAAACAATACGTTGTAATTTTGCGTGGCGTATTAGTAGTAGTAGTAGTAGTAGTTCTTGTCCAATCCAAGATTCCAAACCAGGTGAATTAGAAATTCTTACGGATATTTTCCAAAAGGAGTGAGTATTTATTTACTAAAGATCAAAATTAATTACCGATTTATGTGATTGTTATTCTCTCTTTGTTTTGGGTCAACAAGGAATTTAAATCATCAACCATAGTTATATTTTATCTTGGTATAGAGAGTTTTGCGAGTTGCATTATGAACATAGTTGGCGATGTTTTACTAAACCCAAAAAAAAAAAAAAAAAAGACAGAAAGAATAATTTTAAAAAGAAGAAGCAATGTGTGTGTGTGTGTAACTCTGTATTAGAAAATGATGGAAAAGGGTGGGGTAGTTTAGTCAAAGAGAGTTCCGAGTCTAAACAAAACAAGACCGCGTATTTAAAAAGGCCGAGAGAGGAAGCAATGGAGAAACTCACATTCTTGACTATTTTACCCCTCCAATTTCACATTTTGGATTCACCGGAGAATGTTTGACCATGAAACTCTCTTTTTTAAAGAAAAAAAAAAGAATTATAAAGTTAAGAAAAGCCAAGAGAAGTAAATAAATGATTCGATAACAAGACCTTTGAAGATCGGTTTGGTAATTGTTTTGAAAAAAGCATAAAGATGCGAATGATACTCTATAAAATATATGGGGTTTGGTTGTTATGAATAGTTTTAGTTTTTTACACATAATAATAATAAAAAGAAAACTTAGTCGGAAATAGATGGGACATTAATGTACTTTATGCTTAAAATAAGAAGTACTATGGTATACAAAATACAAAAGCCTTCATTATTTACGATATACACTACTAGCTAGTACACTAAAAACTTACTCTTTAATTAATTTTACTAAAGATCATTTCTGACCTTTTTGTTTTTGAACCATATAACCTCCTATCTTCACTATAGTATATAGTCCCTTCTCTATTATAACATCAGTATATTCTTTTTAATACTCAAGCGGCCTCTTTTGAAATTGATAGAGTTTACAAAAACTCTAGTTTTCAAAATATCCTATCCTGATATAGTATATGGTCCATGCATGGACACAACCAACAAAGTTATGGATAGACTCATTTCATATCACTGGTTTTAGTTATATTTATTCATCGTTTCAATGTGCATTATGCAGTTGGTCGTCTCGAATCATTATGAACTTTTTAATTTGCGGATTCACTTTATGCCGTTGAATATTAGTATTACGATTATGTTGAAATTTAGCGCTTTGATCGGTTTCAAGCTTCTTTGAACACCACGTTATAAACTATACTCCTATCACTCCAGGAAATTAAAACGAAGTAAAATAAACAAAAGTCAAAACAGAGATATTCAACCAAACATTTAAAAAATGTTGAAATAATTCACTTAGACTTTTTTGGAATATTGGTTAGACTGGCTGGTTACGTTTTGACGGATTGTTGAGTTGGTCCAACGTTCAACATATGGGAGTAGAGTTAACATATCGCGTGGCAAGATTTTTTACAAAAAAACAACCGCGAGGAGCATTGATTTATAGATAGAACCTCATCTTTTTATTTATTTATTTTGTGGAGTATCATTTCATTGTAAAATTGTGTTTACTTTTTAAATACCGAAAAAGGAAAGTGTTATAATTAATTTAGGACAACAAGTGTAATAACATGGCATAAATCAAAATGATATTAAGGGAACGATGAGAAAGCATATGGACGGTTCAGGTCTATTTTGATAGCGAACTTCTTTTTATTATGTTAAAACGAAAAGAACAATTGTGACGCCCACAGCTCCCTTTATAACTTGCACCGTCCATGAAAAAAATTGCGGCTTCAAATAGTACTCTGGCGCCCTTAAACAAATATTGAAGCATGTAGATTGCTCTTTTTCTTAAATAGCAAATGTACACCAAATTTTTTTTTTAAATTGGCTTTTGTAAAAATAAAAAACTACTGACAGTATATATTTGCACCGTCCAGCTAAAACATCTGTATGTTGATTTTGGTACCATCAGAGCAATAGTTTCAGGCAGTCTAAGATTTTTTGTTGTTGTTGTTTGTCAACGAAGCCAAGTAGATTATATTACATGTCAATATCAACTGATTTGGTTTATAATATATAAAAGAAAATGGATACAAAACTATGAGATTTTGTTGGTAGAGATCTTAATTAGTTCGATTAAGACGTCTTTGTGAATTCCGGCTCATGAATCCTTCCACTCTAATGGTCATATCCTCTCTTTCTTCCACCGTCCATTTTTTTTCTTCTTTTCATCATTAGTTTTTTTATTACGTTTAGTTTTTGAATGTATTGATTCATCTGATTATACATAAACAACATTCGACATCAATACAAGTACTTTTTAATACGTATTTTTTTTAATCTAGTTGAAAATTTTGTTAATGACATTCGTTAAGTTGTTAATTATACAAGTACCTTTCCAGATGACTTCTTTTAGGGGACAAGTTTGCTTCTCAGCTACTCTCAATGGAGCTTGATTTTAGAAACATACCACATTGTAAACTTTAATGATAACCTCCGTACGAAACTAATTCAGTCGGAGAATGCTTAAAACCACCCATTATTGGTGATTTCTTAATTTAAGATTTGCTAAGAGATAACTCTAAGAATTCCATTAATCTTTTCTATCTTGTGTCACTTATTATCTATCTCATGGATAAGATATATTGAAGGTTGTGCACCCTAATTAAGTTGAACTATATCATCATCATCAATTTGTACCATATCATCCATTCTTATAGAAATACCAAGTTGGTGTGGATGTTCTCGTCCTCCTCAAATGTTGTTCTGAAAATGTTCAAAGTCTTCAAAGCTTCCTCTCTAGGAAGAAAACTATTGAAAATATTCAGCTCAATGAACCTATCATTTTTTGTGAACCGTGAGTTTTCGAGCACATGCATCAACATGCTAGAGACAAATGTGAGACACTTATTGAGACAATGCAAAATAACTATTATTTTTGCATAATATTTGCACAAGCTTTGCATAATATTTGCATACTACTTATTATATTAAGTTTTGATGCAGTTCTCTTGTTTTTATGATCAATATTTATTCCAAAATTTAAATAAATAATGCTAGCAAAATAGATATTTACTTTAAAACTTTTTTTATATTAAAATATACATAATGTAATATATTAGCATTTATCAATTTTTTCATCTAATAAATATTTGTTTTAGATATGCCGCTGATTACGAAGAAAGAATTGACAACCCACAATAATATAACAAATGCGCCGCCTATCAAAAACTTCTTAATCCATGTCATCACATTTTTATCCATAGTCCCTTCTATCTCTCCATAGATAAATTCACATGCTACCACAACCATCCAAGTAAAGACATTCCATTTTACATTTTTTACAAGAAATATCCACATTTGTTTACAGTGAAGTGTTTGTATCTTACCAAAGATTTAATAAACGAACAAAATTAAATAACACATGTATTTTTCGTCCAATTTCAAAACTACATGTATTAAACGGTAAAAATAATAATAATAGAAAGCAAATTAAAAATCTTTTTTTCCCACTGTGATAATGTACTTAAGAAAACATGTATTTAATTAGGTTGAGAAAATACATAAAAATGAATGACGAATGAAGTTTATATTAAAAAAATGCAGATTCATTGGCCCAAAAAAAGTATTAGTGTTAGATGGTTGTATGTATAATCGTGAGGACTGAGGAGCGTGCAAACTCGATGATGTTAAACGCGCGTTTCAAAGTTTCCCCGGCCGGAGGAGCAAACTTCCACGTTCGGCTTTCATTTATCTCAAAGTCACAACGCTCTCTTTCGCCTCCCAAAGTTTTGTTCGCCGATCAATTTTATGTCAGGATTCCGATATCCACTAGGGTTCCTCCTGCTTCTCGTCTCTCTCTCCTTGTCGCCGGTCAGGTGAGCGATAAAATTCTTAATTGATTTCCTTCGTATGATCAATCTAAAACTCAATTGGATTGGATCTCCGAGTTGGGTTTCGATCCAATTGAATAAAAACATCTCTCTCTCTCTCTCTGAATCTAAATTGGATATGAATCTCTCGTAGATGTTCCTGATTTCACCGATTAGTGTTTTGGCAATCGATGTTAATGTGCTAAAACTGTTTAGGTGTTTAGGTAGCGGAGGAGCAAGTAGCCTAGAGAGAACATTGGCTATGATAAAGCCTGATGGAGTCTCTGGTAACTACAGCGACCTTATCAAAAGGATTATAGTGGAGGCTAGTTTCAATATCGTCAAGGAGATGCTTACTCTGCTGGACGAGCAGACGGCTTCTGCGTTTTATCTCGAGCACTCTTCAAGGACCTTTTTTCCTCATCTTGTTACATACATGACAAGGTTGGTCACTTCTCTTTTGTGCCTGCACCTTTTCTCCATATCTGCGTTTGCTAATGTGTGTGAACTGTATCATTCAAACAAGTGGTCCGGTCTTGGTGATGGTATTGGAGAAGCGTAACGCGGTTTCTGATTGGCGTGGTTTAATCGGCCCAACAGATGCGCAAAAGGCTAAGATATCTCACCCTCACAGGTTTGAATGATTTGTTCCCTTAACACTTGGCTCCCCCCCACCTATGATGCTTTGAGGCTTGCTTGATTCTTATTGTATTTCTTGACTTTGCAAATTCAAGCCTGAGGCTAAATGGATATACAGTACTCCTAAAGCTGTGTCGTGTGAAATCGTTCTCTGACTTGTTAACTGTTATGAATCGGTAGGTTGCTCTTTGATCCTGTTGACTATATGGTCTTGTCTTGTTCTTGCAGCATCAGAGCATTATGTGGTAAGGACTTGCAAAGAAATTGTGTGCATGGCTCGGATTCAACATCATCAGCTGAACGAGAGATCAAGTTTTTCTTCAAGGACGTAGTTTCAGGTTTAGTTAATCTCACCCCTCTTGCTTCTTAAACTCTCTGTTTCGTTCCTTCGCTTCAGTATTATTTGTTATGATCACTGATCAACCAAACCCATTGAAATGCCAGGTGACGTGGCTTCACAACATGACGAACTATAAGAAAACACCAATACAGGGTTCTGTTGTTGTTGTTGTAATCTTGTAACTGTTGGTTTAGCATCAGTGTATGATTTGGATTCGAACTTTTTTGCAATTTGCAACTAGCAAATGATTTATACTACAAGTGAAAGGAATCAATCACCATCCCATAATTGTATCAAAACATTTATGGAGAAAGGGCCGTCATATCACCCAAAATTCAATCATTGACGTATCTAGATATTGTATGTACATAAGAGCCAAAGCTTTATACATAACTCAGGCCTGACCCAAGTTAAGTTAGTGAAGTTTTGCAAAGACGGCCTTATATGTAGTAGTGGTGAAAAAAACTCATAAGAATACTCATTAGTCTATAACAAACAAATATTGTAAAGAAAAGAAAAAAAAAACGTAGAAGGGAAGCAAAAGAGAAAGAGAGGGAGAGGGAAAAGTTTCCCAAAATAGAAAATATGTCCGAATATAGAAATCTAAGCAAAGTGACGGAAACGTTTAGAAAAAACACATAAAAAGGCCTCGTCCTCAACAATCCTCACGTGATTCTTTTTTGGCCTTGAACCATCTAAATCTTCGTTTATAGTGAATTTGTGATCTCGAGGTTTTTCTCTCTTTACCTCATTCTCTAATAGAGGATTTGGCTAATTCATTACCAATGTCATTAATACTTGGGGGTAAATTTAGTGTCTAATCCAGTTTGTTTAACTGATATGTGTTGAACCAAAACAGTGTAAGAATTTTCTTTTTTGGTCACACACAGGTTTTAGTTATAGTTTTTATACATATTCGATTTTAATTTTACAACATGATTTTTTAATTTAATTCGAAGAATCGTAATTAGTTTATTCTTTTATTACTTGTTGGTACTTAACTGATTAGGATATAAGTAATCCTGACGAACTGCGTGACGATTGAGCAGTTACAACATATAATATTATACTATTTCATTCCAGAAACCTAAAAGAAATATATACATACCTGCATATATATGTTTCTTCTATAAAATGGAGTAATTAAAATAAAACGAAATTAGATGCTTAACACGTGTACTGTTTGAAAATCACAAAGACAACTTAAGAACTCCCTAGATTTTGTGTTTAATCACACCAAGAGTTTAGGCAAACGTACGTCTTAACTGTATCATCCACATATTAATCGCTGTTTAATTAAAGTGGTCCCTAATCCTAATTCTTGTCCCAATGTCCCCAATTTGTTTCAATTCTTACTAATTTCTTAAGTAGTACATTTTAAAATCATTTGTGTGCGTGTCAGTGTTATGTCGCTACAAACATTCGGATTCATGTTTAATTAGTTTTCACCTTTAGTTAGTCTCGATTTTGTTAAAGATCATACGACTTCTTATTATAAGTTATTATCAAAATAGTTTAAAGATAGTAGTAGTATTCACAGAAGAAAGGAGAAGGTAGCCAAGCAAGTTGAAGTAAAGGACAAAATTTTCATGGAGACCAAGAAAATGTTTTGATATCCAATGATGTTACTTCATTCGGTAACATGCATCAATTCTCTATTGGACTTTGCTGATCATTTCTTTATACTTTATTTACTTACATATCTTGTAATTAAGCAACTTGAAAGAGACTTTTTGACTGATCCCTCTAGGTGGGATGAATTCCTTACTATGCATGGCTATTGCATTATCCAAATAATAGCAAACTGAAACTATATAACAAAATTCTTGTCTATATATGTATAAGATGAGAACAATTATATAAGATCTATTTATATGTTCATGAATAGGAAACAAAAATAAAAACTACAAGTGACTCTATATATAGTCTATATATATTATAAGTTCATCAGACAATATATTGTTCAAACATGTGAGTCTGTGACGTTCAATCAATATCCAATTCAAACTCATATAGTTTTGTATGCTTAGTACGAGTTCTAACTTATAATAACCCCCCAGAAAAGAAAGAAAAACACATTTCGAATGCGGCATTCAACTATAACACCTTCCTTAGGAGAATGTGCTCCATTCAACTAGCAAAGCATCAAAGTGAAGTTTATGATACCTTATATTATATATAACATATATCTTAAAATCTTAGTAGCTGGACTGTTTGTTTGGCCTTGGGGAATAACATATACTATATCTTACACAAAATCATATGCTTAAATTTGCAGATAATAAGTAGTATAGTAGAAGAAGAAACCACAAAATCCGAAGCTCCTCAAACCTAAGAAAATCTTGATATCTTGGATTCGTTGCTATATTTGATAGGCGATGCTTGTCTACCAGATACGAGTATAAATATAGATCGACACTGATTCTAAATAAAATTGCTACTCTCATCTTTTCTTTTTTTTTGTATGTGTGTGTGTGTGTCCACCTACTACTACTCTCAAATCTAAATCTAAAAAAAAATGTTAATGGCCTTTGAAAGTCAACCCGACCTCTTTGGGTAAAGGGCTAGACCGACAGAAGAAGATTGCCAAAATAGTCTCTGTTCTCGGACACGTGTATATATATATATATTTTTTTTTCCTTTAACCATCATCTTTAAGACTGTAATAATAAGTTGATATTATGTGGCGATCTTCAATTGGAGGAGTTTTACGTGATTGGGAATGTGTCGTGGGGTTCATCAAAGTTTCTTTCCTTTTATTTATATGCAAAATAAAAATAAAAAAGCGTCAGTGCTCTTTCATAATCTCACTTTCCATCTGTCTACTGTCGAGTGTAGGTGTGTATTAACTACTACTCCGACCATCCGCTCTTTTTTTCCGCACGTAGAAAAATGTATGATTTTGATTCGTTTGAGATATACATTTGATTAAGAGCTCATAATCTAATATTATTCGAATGTAAGGAAAAAAGAACCCATTACTGTGTTGTTATCTCTATTTTTACGTTTTTTTTTTTTTTTGTCTTTTAACTCCATGCAAATTTCAGTAGCGATCAGCTTGTAAATGGATATACTGTATATAACTCATGATCTTATCAGTACTATATATGCTTTATTTTGGGGATATACATATTCTTGTGTAAAAGTACAAGTTTTTATTTATTTAAAAAGAAGATATATATAGGACAGTTGCCCTAAACAACTAGAAGGCACATTCCCTTATATAATAAAAATAAGAAGAGAAGGGTTAAGCTTAAAGGGGACATCAACACGAGCGCTCTTCTTGGATTTTCGTTCTTTGGTTTGCTCTTTCCTTCTTCTTTTTTTTCTGACTCTTTTCCTTTTGGGTTTCTTTGAAAACAACATATATATCTAGCGTTATAATTATTATATAATAATAATCATCATAATAATATTATCTAAGACTATATAGTATAGTGGATACATATATAATTGGTGAGCAATAATACATTTTGCATAGTCGATCTTCCTAAAACTTGGATTTAACCTGCTTGTCTCTATTCTCTATATTTGACGTTTTATTTCCCTATCTATGTGTTATGACGACATTGAATTGACCCTCAATATTTTTATCCGTCTAGGTTAAATGCATTTTCCCCATATCCCATAATATATGTAATTTTGAGAGTTAAAAATAAATTAATTTAAGCACTGATGGTAGAATGCAAATCAACTATATATGAGCCTGGCTTATATATAAATCTGATTTGACATATTTTTTAGAGAAATAATTAAATTTTAGAAATTTGAGAAGAAATGAGCAAACTTTTATGGTACTTAAGAAATCTTCCGGAACCAATGGACGTTACAGAAATACATGTATTTTCTAGAAGATGTAAATTTCCTTCTATCGGTCCACAAGAAAAAAAAAATTGCTTATTCTGAAATATCATACAACTTTAGGTAATTATGATATATTTTGTTTTCATGGTATTATATATTAACACTGGAAATAGGAATGTGCATAGAAAGACACATTTATATCGGATCATATATACAAAAAGATAGTCAGGAATGTGTGTATACAAGTGATCGATCGAACAGCTGTCCGTGTCACCATAGTAACCATTCAATGTAATGCATTTCTAGGGATTCAATTTCTCGTTCTTAGAACTTCGGCTGGTACAACATATCGACGTTTAGTCTACATATCGTTAAGGTGTGGGTGTAGCTCCACGGCGTATGGACCGAGATTAATGGCGTGACGTTCTCTCCCATACACGGGTTTATTAACTATTAGTATTATTAACTATACGTTTATATATTTGGGTTAATAATACACTATTACACATTTTAATGTACTTAATAATCAATGGGCCATAGAAGAATGTTGGTGGACTCGTTGGTTACGTCGGGATATGTGCTTTACTATAAGTCTGTGAGTTGTATAAAGAAGCAACTATGAACTAACATCTGAACATAAGATTACAAAAACAGTTTATAAGTTTTTTTTTTCTTTCTTTTTTCTTTTTACTTAAAATTCCCTCTTTTAAGTAGTCAAAGTTTGGAACTTGAACACCATCAAATTCATCAATTTTACTCCCAACTTGTCTAAAAATCTTATCTTTTTAATCTCTATTAAAATCAATCTTGATTCATCAATAACTCGAGTTCATACACATATACATTGATCTCTTTGTTACAGACAATTGTCAAAAGAAAAAGAAAAAGCATGAAGGTTAGATTTAGTGTCATTTTCGTTTAGTTCGATCATATATTTGAAATGGGTTTCATTGATTTTTTTTCTTTCTCAGATGATCTCTAGCTAAGGTGTTTTCTTCTGACTTTTGTTTTCAGCTCTTCGGATGGATGCAGACCAAGCTTAATGTGGATCAAAACAGACCAAGCACTTCCTCTGCTTCTTCTCGTAAGTTTTACTTTCATAAAGTGTTAACTTCAAGATTTGTTGTCTGCTAGGGATATGTGCAAGCAATGCCCCAAGATTCTTGTCTCGTAGAACTTGCTTGTCCTAGATCTCGTTTTGGGACCTTATTTTGACAAGATTTTTGTCTTTGCCTCTTCAGCCTGACTTGTCCTCTGAAATTATTTTGCTCTCTTGACTCTTTTCTATTAGATCATGTGAAGCAAGGGCCTAGGGAGGAGTTTAGCGACTGGCCTCACGCGCTGCTTGCTATTGGAACATTCGGTACAACAAGAAACAGTGTGAGTGACAACGAGGGCAAGAACGTTCATGAAGAGATTGAAACGGAGAAAAAGTGTACCACACAAGCCGAGCAAGAAGAAGAGCCTTCTTCTTCTGATGATCTTGAAGATTTCACTCCTGAGGAGGTTGGAAAACTGCAGAAGGAGTTGATGAAGCTCTTGTCAAGAACTAAGAAAAGGAAGTCTGATGTGAACAGAGAGCTCATGAAAAATCTTCCTTTGGATAGATTCTTGAACTGTCCATCGAGTTTAGAAGTCGATAGGCGAATCAGCAATGCGCTTAGCGCTGTAGTAGATTCATCAGAGGAGAAGGGGGAAGATATGGAGCGAACGATTAACGTTATTCTAGGTAGATGCAAAGAGATAACAACAGAGAGTAAGAAGAATAATAAGAAGAGAGACATAAGCAAGACCTCTGCCTCATATCTTTTCAAAAAAATCTTTGTCTGCGCAGAAGGGTTTTCTACATCCCCAAGCCCTAGCTTGAGAGACACGCTTCAAGAATCAAGAATGGAGAAAGTAAACAACTGCGTGATGAATTTAAAATATAGCTAGACCAATTTTTTTTCTTTTTCTTTAACTCAGCCTCTGACGAAAACCAAATATTACAGTTATTGAAGATGATGCTACATAAGAAGATCAATTCGCAAGCCTCCTCAAAACCAACGTCGACAACAAAGAGATGCTTGCGAGACAAGAAACAGCTCTCACTGAAGAGTAGTGAAGAAGAAGAAACTAGCGAAAGAAGAAGAAGTAGTAGCGACGGATATAAATGGGTGAAAACAGACTCGGACTGTGAGTTTTCATCAGATCTCATTACATTTCAATATAGAAAACTTATAAAACAAAACAACTGATTCGATCTTCTTTTGATTACAGTCATCGTTCTTGAAATCTGATCCAACTTTGGTCATTTAAGCTCTTGCAAAAATCTTTTCCAAGCACAGGTAGTTAAATAAGACACGACAGTACGTAGAATCTGTTAAGCTTTTATGTTTCTCTTTATTTTCATGAAACTCATGAAAGATATTCTTTCATTTTGTATGCAGATTCAAAATCTTCTCGAGAAAATTCAAAGAAATAATGAAATGAGTACCCTCTCTCATTTCTGAGGAAATTTTTTGGTGCATCTGCAGATTAAGCCTTGGTGGTTCATAATGTTTATTAACTTTTTTTTTTTTTTTTGCATGGTTAGATCTGTGGGCACTTGGGTCCATAGAACCAAACATGTTCTTGAAAATTGCATACATGCGTATATATGTATAATTGTATATATGTGAAATGTCAAAGAGTATATACATACATACATGTGTGCGTGTGATTTGTGTAATTTTTAAGGTGGATAACCTCAGCTTATAAAAAGATTATTATTTCGTTTTTTCATTTTTCGTTTCATGATTCTTTGGGGTTCATTTTCTGAGATGAATTGAATATTACTTCCCTCTCTCGTTTCTCCTTCATGTGTATATATATTAGCACAGAAATAAAGATATTGGGATATAAATCCTTTCTCCAAAGTTAGAAATCGGAAAACTGTAGTATATACATATATATATTGTAAGAAGAAATTAGGTTAAACATTCGGTATTACACGATCAATTAATCAATCATACTTGAAATTAGAAAATAAAGATTATTCTTTCCCGTCATGAAGTGGATAAATTCAACCCTAAACACACAACGTATGTAATTAAGCAATCAACGTAAAAGGGTTATTATTTATATACGGTTCACGAATGTCGAACATTTCAAAGAAATATGATAGTGCTTCTTTATAGACTTATAGGTTGTTGTTTGTTGGCCCAGCAACAATGTGAAGTTTCCAAAAATTAAGCCCATTTGGTTAATACCCATTTTATACTTTTAAAAATAAAAAGAAAAAAGAAAAATGTAGTCACATTCCATTTTGGCCGGGACTACATACTCGTTCGGATTCGATTAGAGTTTAAGATTTTTGGGTTTACTCTATCCCATCGTTCGGGTATTTTCTATTTTCTGGTCGAATTCAAATGTGGTTCAAGTTCGGGTTCGTAGTCTTACAAAGAGAGAGCAAATATAGATCAACATGGGGAGGAATTCGTAGTTCGGGTTCGTAGTAAAATGTCACAAGATACAAATATTCTAACAAGACCATAAATAAGCTAATATTAAGTTATAGTGATACATATTGATGTTGGAATATTACGACGATTTGAAAAAACAAAAGAAAAAGAAGTAGAATAAGTGAATAAACTACTAATGAGAGGCTGAAACGAGTCAAATATTAACCGTGAAGATATATATTACCAAGAAGAATGTAGTAAATAAAAAGTGTGTCACTTTCAAAAGGACCCATTTCGTCCGTTCAACCCAATTGGCAATTCCAAACGTTTTATTTTCTTCCCCAAAAAAAAAAGACACACCCTGACCCGGCCACTTGCGCGGTACTGCGGATAACAAGTTACACCAAACTGTTTGGTCCAAACAAACCGGTTCGATCAATAAATATATCTCGGTTTGATCCAGTCCGATTTCATTTTTAGTCCCATCAACAACATTCTACAACAACACATAATAATACATTTAGTCACATCTAAACTTTTTTTTTTCTAAAGTACCGTATCATTTTCCCCAACACGTTTTTTATTGTTTAGTTGGAACGAGTCGTCGTGATGTTGAAGCAACCTAACCAAACGTATTTGATTGTTTTATTGCATCCGTGAAAGGGGCATGTCGGTCAATTCATCCGTTAACATTATAATATTTTTGACCAAACTTATTAGGTGATCTAAAAATAAAAATGAAGATCTGTTTTTGTAGTAGTTAGTAATAGGGAAAGTGGGAAAAACGCGAATCACACAAAAACTGGTGCGAGTGCGCCGTACAGATTGCGATACGTGTCAACATCCCAACGGTGTTTTCCATTAAAACACGTGTTTTTAGAAAACTTGTGTCGGATGGGGTAAAGAAGACTTTTGAATTTCTTAAGGCAAAAAGAAAACACACACAGAAGATGAAACTTCGTAGTGATATGTTCGGTTCCATGGTAGGATCCCACGTCTGGTCCACCAAAAACTATTACAGCCAAAAGGGCGGATCTTGTAAATACGAGGAGTACTTAGGTCCTTTTAAGTAAATTATGAGTTAACGCCGTTTAATAACGGTCACCGTCGGTTCTGATTTCTTATTTCTTTATTAGGCGTAAGGAAAACGTGCGGTAGGATTCTAACGAAATCTGAGAATTTTTTTTCAAATTAAAAGTCCAATTACAAAATCTGGCCGTTGATGTTTAAATAAACACTGTACTGAAACAAGGAGAAAAAAGAGGTGAACATGTATGTTTTGTTTGTTTTTATGATAAGACAGCGCATTACATTTGTTCGTTGTTATTACTTATTACCAACTCCGAATAACAATATTAATAAATTACTTGCTTAGTGATGAATTATTGATATTCATTTTCTTATCATTAACCCAAAAAACTCCTTTCTTTCACACCAGATATACTTTAGTTATATTCAGTGAAAATTGTCATGGAATATTACTAAATATGATAGTATAAGCTAATGGCTTCATTATCTTACTTTAAAAAAAAATTTCTGGTATATTTGATATCAATTTTTTTTATATTTTTTGTCAACAACGAGATCAGTTATATATTTTGGTAATACTAGTATAAAGATTGAAAAATAAGATAAAAAGTATTTTGTTTTTATTTAAGTTTTAATTAAGTTATGGGAGGCTATTAAAGTCACACAAACTTATTGTGTGAATTGAAGTTTATATATATGAAAAACACATGAGCTTTTAGCTCGACACATCCTCTTCCGTCTACTCCTCTTCCATTTTACGCGCAATCCACGCTCCCAAACAAAACAAAAAAAACAGAAAAAGGAAGAGAATATATCCATACATATATATAAAAAAAAAGAAGAAGTGTGGAGAATATTTGCTTCGGTCTCTCATACACAAGAAGAAGAAAACATGTCGTCAAGAAATGAAAATGTGCCGGAGAAATCAGATTTCACCCGGAGATGTAGTTTGCTCAGCCGTTACCTGAAGGAGAAGGGTAGTTTCGGTAACATAGATCTTGGTTTGTTCCGGAAACCCTGTCCCGGTCTCCTTTTGCCCGGAATATCCCATCCATCGGGACCAGGTACTTACTCTTCTTGGCCGCCACTTTGGTATTATATTAAAACTCATTTCTGTTTTCTTTCTTCTTCTTTTTTTTTTTTTTTTTTGCTGTTTCGCCAGATTTACTATTTTTCTTCTTCTTTTGTTTCTTGACTTGTAATTTGTAAGTCATTAGTGAGTTCCTTAGAATCGGAAATAAAATGATCCTTTTGCCTATTTATTAAGACAAAGTAGCAACAAAGATAGAGAAATTAATTGATATAGATATTTGATTTGAATTATACTGTTCAAATCCTAAACGAGATCTTGTATCGCCTAGAAAATTTTACATTTTCAAAAACATAATTATTCGTCTGATGTTAGTAAAGCTTGGACTATCATCGAATTGTTTACCAAAGTTGGTATCCTCTTTTATTTTATTCAGGGAAACCAAGTGCTGCGGCACAGAAGGTTGAGCATTTCCAAGGCGAACCCTCTAACTCGTCTGGAGGCAAAGTCAAAGATGCTGACCTCAGGTCTCTCTCTCTTTTTTTCCTGGAAAATTTTGTTATTTTTTTTCTTCTTTCTTTTGGTTATTGGAGATTAGAGAAAAGATAACCGGTTAACCCAGGTTTAAAATATTTTTGTTCTGAATTCGTTTTTTTTTTTTTTGGGTTTACAGTGAATCACATCCAGGAAACTCTCAGCTGACCATATTCTTCGGAGGGAAAGTTTTAGTTTACAATGAGTTCCCTGCAGACAAAGCTCAAGAGATCATGGACGTAGCTAAACTAGCCAAGCCTGTTACTGAGATTAACATTCAGACACAAATCAATGCCCAAGAAAACAACAACAACAACAAAAGTAACATTCAGACACAAACCAATGTCGAAGACATCAACAACAACGACACAAGCGACATGGTTCTTCCTGATCTTAATGAGCCTACAAATTCTGCTTATACTGATCATAACCACCCTACAAAGGAGCAACAACAACAAAACCAGATCGTGGAACGTATAGCTCGCAGAGCTTCGCTTCATCGTTTCTTTGCCAAACGGAAAGACAGGTATTTTGACTTGATCATATACTTTTTTGGAACATGTTATAATATTTTCCAATCACTCTAGTTTGTTCATAAGATTAAGGATTTTTTTTTTATAACATATATTCTCTTACATTATCCTCAAAAATTAAAGCTGTGCACGTAAGTTATATTATTTTATTTTTTTCTATAACAGAGCTGTGGCTAGAGCTCCATACCAAGTTAACCAAAACCCGGGTCATCATCGTTATCCTCCCAAGCCAGAGACTGTAGCCGATCAACCACTCGAGCTAGGACAGTCGTCGCAAAGAACGAACAACGCTGTTGCTCAAACCGTGGCCCATCCCAAATCAGATGGTGATAAAGATGTTACTATGGAGATTGAAGAAGGCCAAAGTTCTAAAGATCTCGATCTAAAGCTATAGTAATATTAATGCTAAATGTTTCTTAGGAACTGAGCTTTTAGATTACGTCGTTTCGATTCTCTTTTGACTTAATTTAAGTGAATTTTTGTTTTCTACTAAAGTATGTAATCATATTCTAACTTGAATATTTGTAAACGCATATAGATACTGACATAGGAGTTCAGTAACAAAAACCAGAAATATTAGGACTATTACACTGCATTTATAATAGAATATAGGGACTGATAGAGTTCGTAACCGTAATTAAATCTTTCAACGATTACCAAACAAGAACCGTAATCGTAGTCTAGAAGGACACTTTCTAGAATCTCTAATCAGCATCTAAAAAATTCATATAGTTTGTGGCCAACAGAGTTATCAGTGACTCGAATCAAGAACACGAGCAAAAAACCCCTGGCGTTGCAATCACAGCTGAGCCTGGCATAGCTATGCAGGGGAAGAAGCAATTAAGAATTCTTGAACACTCGACCTTTAGCTCCTTCACTCCAGGTTCATCGAGCACAAAGAACGCCCAAATCACATCCGCAAAACATTTGGATCAAAACTATGAGGTTTGATCTTTTGATGTAAACATCGAGATGTAATTCTCGTGTCTGAAAAGTGGATCTGAAACAAGGCTCATCATCTCTTCAGAATGGTAAACATGGTATGGATTTGGGGATGATTCTTGAGCACCAGTAGAATCCGAACCGGAAGAATTAGGGTTTGAACTCAATTCTACAGACATTGCGAAACCGATGGATGAAGAACAAGATTCGATCGAAGAAGAAAAGAGGAATCTCAGAGTAAGCGTAAGTTAGATTCTCTATGAATCCACTACGTACTGACAACTATGGCCGAGAGAGAGTGGAGAACCCAAGTGTCATTTAAGTAACAAAAGGGTTTAGGACCAAACTAGCCAAGTGTCAGTAAAGTAACCAATGAGTTTAGGACCAAACTAGTCTGTTTATTTGCTTCAAAATTATGGCATAAACTAATTTTGTCTTTTTTTTTTCTCAAGAGTTTGAACTTTGACGTTAAAAAAACAAGATCATCATTGTAATTAAGAGCGAGAGCAGATTCGGAATGTGATTGCAAACGTAACGAGGTTGGAAGTGGAATTAGTTTATGGTTTTAATTCGTAAAAGAAAAGAACTTAAATTTATAGGGTGTACACACAAGTTTTCACTAAACTCGGGGATGTATATTGTAATTACGTGTCAGGTTCAAGTTCATTGAAGGCGTGTCTGATTTGAGACAGTGATTGGGCTGAGCCATAATGACAACGTGGTAAGAGATCATTGGCTGCTGTTTTAATTATTACAGCTTTGTGACTTTAGCTTATCGATGTGTAAATAAATAATAAAATCCAATAAATTCGTAAGAGCCACTCGATTGCTTCCTTCGCTTTCTATCAAGAGACTTCCTTTTTTTTGTTCTTCGTTTTTTATTTTTAATTTCTTTTGTCATTTCTCATAAATTTTTCTCGAACACCGAAAACACTTTTCGAACCCTAAAAGACAGAGCACTGTGTCAATTTTCATTTCCTGCGGTGAGCCGTGACAAAATCAAAGTCTATATTTTTTTTTTCCCAAGAGAGAATGCAGAGGTTGAAGCAGCAGCAGCAACAAGTTATGATGCAGCAAGCTCTTATGCAGCAACAACAGTCTCTCTACCATCCTGGTCTCCTCGCCGCTCCTCAGGTTTGCTCTATTCTTCTCTTTTTCCATTTCTTTTCTCGATTCGGGATTTTTAGGGCTTTTTCCAAGCTCGATTCTTATCTCCTTTTACTTTATGTACCCTTTTATTTGTATAAGGTCCAGGATTTGGAACACTCCTATTTCTGGTTTCATTTATGATTGAAGATGTCTGTATCTCTTTGTTTTTGTTTCATCTGACTGGTCAAACCAGAAAAAGTTTTGAAATTTATGAGATTATCACTAATAGTGGACTTGTTGTATTTACTAAAGTTTCTTTTTAAAGTGTTTGTCTTTTTATTTGATTTTGGTTCAACAACTCCATGAAAACCTTTGAGATGAAACTGATTCGTTATATTAGCTTACTAGCTGAGACATTAGGAAGTAAAGCTTTTCCCTTTTATTTCTTTCTTTTTCATTTTCTTTCGTTTCCTATTCTTTTTTTTTTCTTTTTCTTTTTGCAGATAGAACCAATCCCAAGTGGAAATCTTCCCCCTGGTTTTGATCCAAGTACTTGCCGCAGTGTGTGAGTGTTAGGTTTCTTGTTTTTTTTAGTATTTTTGTTCACTTTTATGTATGTTTTTGTGTGCTACCACTTAATATCATATCAGTAGTGAGCTCTAGTTTTCAGTTTCGGTGTCTTGAAATTAGTCAGGGGAAACAATAGTGCATTGTAGTTATGTATTCACATATGAAAATATTGTTAACAATTGTGCAATTGAGCAAGTTTTTCAAAAAGTCTTGGTGTTTGACAAAATTTCTTGCTTCTATTGTCTCCAAAAAGTGATTCTTTGTTATTAAGGTCTCATTGGTGATCTTTGGAGACATACTGTGCTTTTTTTCCCTCCCTTTTGAGATTTTTAGTTTATCTAATTTGAGAAATTGCAGGTACGTTGGAAACATCCATATTCAGGTGACGGAACCTCTGCTCCAAGAGGTGTTTGCTAGCACTGGTCCTGTTGAAAGCTGTAAACTAATTAGGAAAGACAAGGTTAGTGCGATCTTGCACTCTTGTAACTATTATAGTTATAGTCTGTAAGGTGTTATATATCTTTTGAACAATATTTTTCCTTGGGTTTCGCCATGATTTCATATATTTTGATTTTGAGCAGTCTTCTTATGGGTTTGTCCACTACTTTGATCGAAGATCGGCTGGTCTTGCCATCCTTTCTCTCAATGGAAGGCATTTGTAAGTAACGGACTTGGTTATAGCCTTTGGTAAATTTAGCATGAATAAGACTCTCTGTTTGTCCTAAGTGTGGATTAGTTTACATTGGTTAATGTATGGTGCAGGTTCGGGCAACCTATCAAGGTTAACTGGGCTTATGCTAGTGGCCAGAGGGAGGATACTTCAAGTCAGTACATATTCTGATGCTTTATTTTCTTTCTCATACTGGATTATGAGTATTCTATTGGTAAAATAACGCACTTGTGTGATGCTCATGTGCAGGTCACTTCAATATATTTGTTGGGGATTTGAGTCCGGAGGTTACTGATGCCATGCTGTTTAATTGCTTCTCTGTGTATCCGACTTGTTCGTAAGTTTCTTTGTTGTCTGCTGTGGCCATATGAGCTTTCTTGTAGGGAAAATGGAAGTAAAAGATTTGCTTAAAATCTTCTAACATTGTTGTTGTTGTATGTAGGGATGCAAGAGTTATGTGGGATCAGAAGACTGGACGTTCACGAGGATTTGGATTTGTTTCGTTCCGGAACCAACAGGTATTGGCATGTCTAATTCTCAACTCCCTTTGTATGTATTGGCCTCTACGTTGGCCATTTATTGATTGCTGCCATTCTTATTTTCCTGTGCAGGATGCCCAGACTGCAATAGATGAAATTGGCGGTGAGTATTTATTTTTTTGGCCCTTGATAGTTGATGTTAGTACTACTACCTTGAGCTAGGAGCCGCTTTTCCTTCGGCCTAGCTCCCCGAGAACATTTGCCCCTTTTTGGCTAATTGGGACATTCTCTTCTGCTACTTTTCAGGGAAATGGCTTGGATCGAGACAGATACGTTGCAACTGGGCGACAAAAGGAGCCACTTCTGGTGAGGAGAAACAAAGTTCTGATTCCAAAAGTGTCGTGGAACTAACCAGTGGTGTCTCAGGTATGTTTTAACTATTACCATTCATAAGGTAGAGAATCAAATGAAGACATAGAAAAGCCTCAAAATGGTCTTAATTCTTACCATTTGATGGTTATAGTTATACCTTGGCTTATTTGTTTTTGTAGAGGATGGTAAAGATACTAGTAACGGTGAAGCTCCTGAGAACAATGCTCAGTACACAACTGTTTACGTTGGCAATCTTGTTCCAGAGGTAAATAAGGAAAAACATTGTGGTTATAGATATTATGTTGACTTAACACCACCGTCATCAACACCGTTTATATTTCTTGGATCAAGCAAGTATATTGTCCTTCGATTTTCCAGGTTTCCCAGGTTGATCTTCACCGCCACTTTCATTCCCTTGGTGTTGGGGTCATTGAGGAAGTCCGTGTTCAAAGAGATAAAGGTTTTGGATTTGTGAGATACTCTACTCATGCAGAGGCAGCCCTTGCTATTCAGATGGGAAATACACATTCCTACCTTAGTGGCAGGCAAATGAAGGTAAAACTAGCTAAATTAAAATGTTTTTTGTCTAGGACTCACCTTTCTTTCAGTTTGGGAATGCTAAAAATCTTGCGTTTTGTTGTTCTCAGTGTTCTTGGGGAAGCAAGCCAACTCCACCAGGGACAGCTTCAAATCCGCTTCCTCCCCCAGGTCCTGCGCCAATCCCGGGATTCTCAGCCAGCGATCTTTTAGCTTACGAGAGGCAACTAGCGATGAGCAAGATGGCAGGAATGAATCCGCTGATGCATCACCCACATGGACAACATGCTCTTAAGCAGGCTGCAATGGGAGCCACTGGTTCAAGCCAGGGAATGTATGACGGTGGTTTCCAGAACGGGCAGCAGCTCATGTACTACCAGTGAGTTCACCCCTGGAGCCGTTATTTGAGTGAAGAGTTATTTTTCTTCCTTTTTTTTGTTATGTAACGTCTTCGTTATTGTATCTTTTTCGTTTCTTCTAACTTATGCTCTTATTATAATGTTATCATGTAGCTGTGGGTTTGTGGTTTGTGTTCCACGTTCTTTCCTTAGTTAACTACGGTTTACGTTTTCGCTCATCTTCACTTCATTCTCCATCTGTACTTTCATTTAACTTAATGTTATTATTGGGTCTATAAACGTGTTCTTATTTCTCATGTAAAATTCTCTAACCTTCATGGCAACAGTGGCCACAATCATCATGATCACTTCCACAGATTGTGGTCAGAATAGTGCAATACTATGACGACTTTTTACTGTATCGGGTGTGATTATTACAGCTAGCAGCCTAGTAATGCATAATGCAGAGCAATGCCATACAACTCGGATATATGTATATTTAATTTGAAGTTCTTAATTATCAAAATAATGTTGATCTCGTTTAGATACTAAAAATCAAATCAAGTAGTTCTCTTTCAACACTACAAACTTTGTACGTGTGGTGTTGTGTAAAGGAAAACATAGAGAGTTCAGTTCTGCTCTTCTGCTATCTTGGCTTCGAGTCGTTTCCTTTGCTCCGGAATGTAGAAAGTGAGAAGAATGATCGCTTAAATTCACCATCTTTCACTTTAAAGCTCCCTTGATGATGTTGCGGCTGAATCAAATTGTTGGAAGCTTTCAAACACAAAACACAAAGCTGGTGATCAGAGGACTTTCACAACACCATTTTAAGAATGAAAATAAGCTGAAAGATATAAGTAGAGATGTTACCTTGTTCATCCTCAGAAAACTGATTCTGAGAAGATGCCATTCTTGATTTTCCTAACTCATCCGATGATCGATAAGCAAAATCATCGTCTCCTTCAGATGTTGTTACAGAAACCCAATCCATTAGACTATCCGCAGCACGTGTTTTCTTCCCAAACTTGAGAAAACGTTTGATCCCTTTCGTTAAATCCTTCCGAGAGTTAGGAACAATAACAGGACTCTGAGCTGTTGTGCCCCATTTCCTTCTCATTCTTGAACTCCAAGAAGCTGGACTTCCCATGGGAGAATCATCCACTGACGCATCAATATCCGAGTGCTCGTTTGGATAAGAGAACGCGTGTTGCAAGTTTGAGCTCCATGAAAGAGGACTCTCACTAGGTGAATCCAATAACGAAGCAACATTATGCTGCAATGTTGAACAAGGTAGAGTATTCGCAGGTAAGTCTGTATGAGAACCTGATCTCAAAGAAGTGAAATTTTCATCCTCTGATGAGTTCTCAACTATTTCAGTAAGTGGAGGCGTTTCATCACCAATATCCTCAACTACTAGAGTCTCCATTTCTCTAGCTTCTTCTTCTTCTTTGACAGGATTCTCCAAAACTTCAATTTCTTCTTCTTCTGCCTCGGAGTCACTGTCATCAAATTCTTCATTTTTCAAATTCTCTGATACATCATCAATGTCTGTGTTCTGCTTCTGATTCCTCTCTTTGTTCATCATATCATCCGAGTACAGAGTTGTCAATTCTGTGAATTCTATGTTTGCAGAAAAGCTTTTCCTTAGTGATCGTGGTCTTCGGGGCATTACAGGAGACGGTATATCTTCCTTTGAAGTCTTCTTATTACTACTTCTCACCTGTGTTCGCGTCATGGTAGTAGTAGTATTTTTACCAGCTAATGTAGATGGTTTTGTGTTTTCCTTTTTAAGATCAGAGAATTTAGGGAGAGAAGATTGTGCAACCAGGTTTATGTCTGCTGTTTTTCTCCCTCTCCCGGAAGTATTAATGTTTGTGTTTGAAACTTTACCTGGAGGTTTTGAGACTCTGGAGCTTCGGTTTGGTGATGGACCCTTTCTTACTTGGGAGCTCCTAGAAGCACTTTTTCCAATGGGCTGTCCACTTACTGGCTTATCTTTTTCTTTTTCTTCTTCACTCTGTAATGAGCTTATATGATGCTGTAAGATATTAAGAAGAAATACTCAATCAAGTTGCAAAATAGTTAGACAAAAGTTTGTTATCATCATCATCAAAGAAACTAAATGATTTGATACCTGATACTTTTTTGTACTTGTCCGAGAATTAAAAGATCTGAACTTCTCTGCACGTTGGCGGGTACTTGATATTGAATCTTGCCTCTTTGCGGAAGCAGTAGAAAACTTAGCCTTTATCTCGTTTCTACTTCGGTCAAGCGCTTCTTGCATTGACTTCAGTTTAGTTTCTTTAGAGCTCCATTCTTCTCTTAGTTTTGCATCCCTTTTCTTCATATACTCTTCATACAATTTTCCTTTAGAATCATCTGAAAATCTTAAATCAGATAAGTTCCGTCGCATTGCAACATTCCTGTGGTCTTTATCGTCACCAGCTGATTGATCCCCAGGAAGAACCTTTTCAAGCTCATTTGCCTTCATTTGCAACTCATCATTAAATCCTGGAGGGCTTTTAGACATTCTTGTCCTCTGTGTTTGATCCACAGATGTCGCACGAACTCTAGGATTGTAACTCTTCCCAGCTGAATCTGCATTTACAAGACTAACCTCAAGATCATCCCCCACTCCAAATGATTTTTGTCTCTGTTCAGACCCTGCAGCATCATTAAGAAATTACAACTAATAGCTTTCAGTTTTAGTATTCAAAATACTTTCATGTGATTTTCAAGATCTTGTAGATTTAAAACTCTATTGGGTAAATTTCTCTATATACATTCTTTTTACTCTTCTACTAAAACTAACCTGCAGGAACTGCTTTTGTAGAAGTTTTTAAGGCTGGTTGCTTATCTGATGGAAACAGTTCTTTCTTCCTGCCTTTTGATTGACGCTCATCACATTTGATATCAATACCATCTGCTATATGAGCCGACCGAGAACGCGAATGTCTATAAGGAAACATGACTGATGATTGTGCCACATTCTGTGATTTGGATGCATAGCTCTCCTCTTCTCTATGCATGGAGTTTCCATCACTCCTGACGTTTCCTGGCCTCTCAGTCTGGTTTTGAAAATCATCAGATTTACTAGAACGCACATCATCGTCTTCCTTTTTACTGTTCTCTTCAGACTCCTTGGGGAATGTGGAATCAGGAATGGACGAAGGTGTACTCAAAAGACCTTCTTCGGTGCTTCCACTGTCAGACTTCTTATTATCCGTTGTAAAATCAAAGCTCATGTCACTAACGATACTCCATCTTCTCAAAACAGACTTCTCAGGGAATGCAGGAGCAGCTGATGATGAAACATCAGAGGAAAGTCTCTTCAATTCTGTGGATTTTACAACAACTACCGGTTTGTTTCCGGCAGAGTTTGAGTTTTCCTTCTGTTTGCTCTCAAAGAGGTTAATCTTATCTTGTACGCTAAGCCTCCTTGTATGATGAATGGTCCTAACAGTAGAAGATTCTTCCAAACTTTCATCTTGTTTCTCCTCTTCATCCTTTGTGTTGTTCTTAGTACTTTGATGGGGACTGATATGTGTTTCACTGACTGATGTTTGCGTATTCAAGTTCTTGGTGATCATGTCTGGTCTTCTTTGCGATAATGAAATGTATTTGCCGCATGCTTCACTGATAAATGAAAGATATTCAGATCAAAATCGAGACACAGTTGCAAGAAAAAGAAGCACCATGAAAAAACTAGCTTACTCTAAATGATGTGCGCCAAATCTATCAGCAAAATGCTGGAGATGAGAAACAGTTTGAAGGTCAAATCCATTAGCTGACGCATGAGCAATCGCGGTGGTTAAGTCCTTTTTGATTGCCTCGAGTCTCAAATCTATAGCTCTTGAGAGCTCTTTCCTACACATAGACAAATAAAAGCAATCAACAAAACAGTTTTAAACATGCAATAAGATCCAATGTGAAAGCAGAGACATTTGCTTACTTTGTTGCATCTGCTACGCCTCCATCTTCTGAAACAGAAAAAGGAGGCAAAATATAGGATCAAGTTTGGCCGTGAGCTTTGAAAAATCTGGTTGAGCTAATGGGAAAGAATAAACATACCTTGAGAATATAATGTCTGAGCTGCTTCCAACTGTGACATCTCCAAATCAAATGTATTGACACTTTCCAACAATTCTGGACTATTAACATACTGAACAAATCTGGAAATGAACAATATAAAAAGGTCACAGATCGTCAGGAGCTAACTCGAATCTTTGAAAACCATAACAAAGACGACAATGTTTTTTCAAAAACCAAACCTTTCAAGTGTTCTTTTTGTGAACCAACCATTTTTGCTTTTATCTAATTCCAGTCTAATAGAGTATTCAGTTCTCAGTGATTCAAGAAGGCTCAAATGATTCAGAAACGGTTCTACCAATCCTGAAGCCAGTTTCTCTTTTTCTTCATTACTCCATACAAACAGCTCACATCTGAAACAAAGATATTAAACTGAGAACAAAACATACAAATGTTACCATTTGTACAGAAAAGGAAAAAAAAAAAAGATCTACTCACCGAGAACTTTTGGGGGAAAGCTCAAACACAGCATAGTCAAGAACAGTATCAGCCCTCATTGTCTCACACAAGGACACACGTGAAAGCCTCTTTCTTATTAGAGCAAAATGTGAATCGGTTCATACGATGATCAAATGAAACCTGAGGGCAAACACAAGAGGGTAGTAGAATTGACTGTGTTAATCAACAAACTTGGTCAATCAAATATAACGAGACTAGTAAGTAAATAAATGTAACAATTAAAAGCTTTTTACCAAAAAAAAAACGTATCAGAAATCAATACAACAATTATAGATAGTTAGAAATACAGTACAACAACGCAGCTCCATAACTATAACCGATGCTTTGCAGATCTGACCCCAACACTAAATTCGAAAAGACAAATTCCCAAAAATAAAATTCCAAAACTTTGGAGGACTCATCCGAGAAAACAGAATTCCCAAAATTCTAACTTCAGAAAAATCAAACTCATCCCGTGAAACACGATGAATTCTGGTAAAACGAATCAAAAGCAAGAAACTTGAGCTAACAAAAGAAGAAAACAGAGTCGGAAAAGTCGAAGAGCTTACGAAATAGCCGATCCAGCATTGATCAGAATTCGAATTTTTTTCCCATCAGTCTCCAGAATTTAGTTAAAACTGAGCTCTTAACAGTGTCTGAATACTTGTTGTCGTGACTAGCTACAATGGTGATTGCTGAAAATGCAATTTTTCTTCTTTTTTTTTTTTTTTGTTATTCTCCCAAATGGAAGAAAGAAGTTTGCTTTATCTCTTTGTCTCTCTCTCCACGCCCATGAAAGACACAAAGACACAGTCTCTCTCTTTATGAAGTAAGAAGAAAATGTTGAGATAATAAGATATGTGGGGGAAAGAGAGCTTGCTTCGGACACCTTCCACCTTTTTATTTTTGTTCCTTGGCGTAACAGTCTGTAATGGGAAAAAAATACGAAAGACGGAGCAGTACTTGTTACTAGTAGTCAAGAAGAAGATACCCCCACCCCAAATATTATTTTACTAAATTACCCTCCTATTAAATTAACTGGGTTTCTTTATTAATACAACAAACCCGGTTTTTGGACCATGTTGCCTCCAAATTTTTCAAACTTAAAGACTTCTTTTCAGAAATAAAAGTTAAAAGAGACTGGATATGTGGGGATAGTAAGTTCAATTTTGGATCCCGGTAGAGTAATTTTTGGTATTGGAAATGGTTTACTAGTAGTAGTATTGGCATTGGGGGCAATCATGTAAGAGCAGACTCAGTTGGAGAGATGTGGTCAAGGCTCTACTATGTCTTTGTGGACCAAACATGCAAACATCCAATGATCAATTTTTTAACGGTTATAATATATATATTTTTTTTTTTTGAGAAAGAAACATATAAATAAATATGTTGAGAAAGACAATGAAACGAAAGTCGCATTATATATTTATTTTTGTTTGATTTTGTGAACCTCATATCTTTTTCTTTTTTTTTTTCCAGGAAATTTTGAGAAAATATTTTCGTGGCAATCCTTGTTCCTGCATTGTTTATATATATATTTAAAGAAACGTACAGTATGTAATGTGCCATATGATTAGTAGTATATATTGATGAATCATAATGGAATAATTATTCCTAATTATTAACACAAACAACATGTGATGTGAACGCGTAATATCATTCTCCCTTTTTAACAAAAGAAAGAAAAAAGGTAATGTTCTTCGTAATATAAATATAAAAAGGGAAATATATAAGTAAAAGTAAACATGGTTTCATTGCCAAAATTAGTGTCAATAAACATTGAAAATCATATGTGACAAAAGTCAAAAAAAGGCATAAATGGGCTAAAACACTACCTACATTTAACCCCCCCCCCCCCCTTTATTGAATTGTAGTATTATATTGAAGCAACTACACAGACTAGTAATAGTATGAAACACACACACACACACACAAAATCTTGTTTGAAATTCATACAGAAAAAGAGAGACCTTAATAAGGGGAATAAGAAGAAGAAGAAGATGCTTCTAGATGAATTGTCGGTATGACGTAAAGGTTGAGGCACATGCGGCATGTTCTTCTCATTCTCTCCTCTTTCTTTTTCTCCTTTTTTTTCTTTTTTTTTTTTGTCCCATGTGTCTTTTCCTCAATAATTAAAAATCTCTCTAATTATGATGATCTTCGTGTTCTTAAATTTGATATATTTGTTTATTATTGGTATACAAACTTTCGAATAGATGACTGATCAAAAATCAAATCTTGATTGGTTTTTACATATAAATAAAAAAACAAAATGGATTCATAGGATGTAAAAAAAAAAATAGTAAACTAAAAAAACTAATCTGCATGAGAAGGTGACAATACTCAAAAAGTGCATGAAACCTTTCCATTACCAAATGTACTATATATATATATATATATATATATATATATATATATATATTATCCGATTAATCTTCACTCTGGTGGTATGGTAAGTAAAGGCATCACCCAAATTAAGGGTAGGATTGGTTTTGAAGTCTTCCAAACCAGACGTTTGCAGCTTTAGCTTACCCATAAAACCAAAGCAAAAGGGGTTGGTTTAATGGGTCCCTGTCATCCACTGAGATGGAAACAACCGCATCATCAAGCGACTATGTGTAGTGTACAGAAACTAAAGCATATATAAAAAAAAAAAAAAAGACAATGATGAGTACGTACGTATAAGTAGAGATCTAACGGTGCAGATTTGGACAGTAAGAACTAACCAGCTGTCCCACCATCTGACGAGTCGGTGTTTACACGTGTGTCTCTCTCTCTCGAACCTCTTTTTTACTTTGTTGGTACTTGGTTGGGTGGACTCGGAGACTTTCTTCTAGCTTAAAGAGACGATAAACACAGATTGCTAGAGAGATTATTTGAGGACCGCTAAGGTTCCAGCTAGGCGATTAACCTATATATGTTTATATGTAGACTTCCATACACATAGCTTTTTATTTATGTTATACAGTAAACTTTTGAATCGTGTTTTCCTTTTCAGAATTGCATCTACTTTTTAGCAACACCATATCACAAATGTCATTGCCTGAAAATTATATATATGTGTGGACTACGTACTCTTATTGATATTTCTGTTCAATAAATAAGCTGATAGATGTTCTAATAGTCATTAGTCATTAATATCCTATTCTATTTTGCAAGTTCTCATAATGGAAAACACGTTAATACAGTTTTATTAATTTCTTTCTTCCACCAATTTAGCATGACCTCGTACTCTCCCACATTCAATTATCACGACCATACCATCACATTGTTAACTATATATAGTTGACCGACAAGGATTAGACTAAAATAAACATAAGGTAAATCATATCTTTGATTTTAGTCAATCTTTATTCTATGTCATTGTAAAAACATGGCTCCAAATTGTAACAAACTTTGCCGCTACACAACAATGCTCTCTGGCCATCAAGTATCTTTTTACAAGCTAAAACCAAGAAACAATAAAAACACCATGCATTGCTATAATGTTCAACATTCATGGCAATCTCAAGGCTTTGATCCAGTCTATTTCAACTCGGAAGTCACCTGCTCCTGATTTTGCTCCAACCGCACCACCTTCTGCGTTTACCGACAGTGACATTCCCAGAACACGACCTGGATTCATCTCCATTTCCACATCTATAACATTTCCTCTCCATGTTGGCAAGTATCGAGCTAGTGGGATCTGATATATTCAACCTCAGGGTTATTAATGGGCCTTAAGACTTGAAGAGAAACATTCAAGCAAACTCATTATCACGATATGTCCTGTTCAACAATATTCCTATCTAAAGACTTACCAGCAAAATAATGATGTGTCAAATTTAAAATACTCTAACGCTCTTGGTTGGGTAACATCTATAGAAGTAGGGACTTGCCTTAGCAATATACCAATCGTTCTTTGGAGCAAAAACAAACGCTTGCCATGAGTTATCTTCTGCTTGCCCCGGTGAGTTCACCCAGTTTTCAGTATAGATCTGAATTATATTCAAGGTTTAGTACAACAAGTAGCACCTCTTTTGCTCCTACCAACATTTCTTGTTTCTTCTCGAGTTAAGGAAAGGTGAGTATCAACATGAAACTTACAGTAGAGATATAACATCTTCCATCTCCTCTGAGCCTCAGGGCTATTGCATCATACCCATCGAGATCAATGAAGCCGTCAAACTGCAAAAGCAGAGGAAAATAGTATATGTTGCAATAGAACGCTCAGCTGCCTCAGAAAGGCACCAGTTACAAAACAAAGATAGAAATACAATAACCCTTACTTTCTTATTCTCTTCAAAAAAAAATAACTGAAATGCAGAAACTGGGTTTTGAATAAGAAGGAAAGCTATGTATAACCTTCTTTGAGCGCATTCCACAGAAACCACTCCGACTGATGTTCCATTTTGATCCTTCGCTAAGTTCTACAGATAGGTTCCCCGAGAAAATTCCTATAACGACATTTGGATGAAAATCCATGACTAAGTGAAGCAGTGTAGAAAACAAAACAACACATTAAGAAACAATGGTATCATAGCATAGAAGAAATCTCTTATATTTTTCATTGACAAAGACATGCGAAATGCTAAGTTTCTAACCAGCGTAATCTGATCCATCTCCTTTGTCTGGGATCTCCAAGGAAGCAGAAGATAATCCTGTAAAATAAGTATTAAACATATTGCCACAAAATAAATAGTATATGCATGGCGGATTATTCACATATCAATGAATTTCTTTGCAATGAAAATGTTCAGAAATTATAATTTGTCTCAGTAGTTTTTCATATAAATCAACAATGCATGAAAATGAAGAGGATAAACAACAAGAGAAACAATCTTTACGGAGCAGATGCTTGAACCTGTCGGCTTAAGTACCTCCATATTCAGAATCAGAATAGAGATGCCATTTCTTTAAGTCTTCTTTAGAGTGAAACTTAAATATATGCTTCTCTGCAGGTGGTACCCATTCTTCAACGTTCCACGTAAGAGCTAACAGTTTGCAGAGTGGTGAAAATAAGTCAGAAACTAGCATTCCCAGCTACATTCAGTACCATAAAAGCTAATAGAGAAATAAAAAACATAATCCTGAAAATTTGTAAGTATTATAACACAGAACCAACATCATTTTTTCCTCAAACATCACTTGCTGTCAGTAACTGATTAAAACTATAAGCACAAGCGCAAGTGAAAAGAAGGAAGCATCGACACAAACAAAAATAAAATAATAGATCAAAGAATTACGTAGGAAGCATCATAACTGACGGAAAAGTGGGAGGTGAATACCCTTCTTTGTCGCATTTACTGAGGCTTGCAACAATGATCGAAACCTTGACATGTCCAGATGAAAATGAAGAAACCTTGTATAGATATAAAAACATGGACTGTTAGGAATTAAAGCTCCTATATTTCAATGTCAACCACCAAATCACACACACAAAAACTCCATGATCAGAATCATACTCCAAGAAAAGTACATAAAAGATAGTGTAAGGTTAGCTATATCAGAAGATTACGCAGTATAAACAGAACTTACTAATCGAAGAAGCCTGAGTCTATAGTGATATGATCTAGCACTATTAGGAGCCGGAGCATAAAGTAGTGACTAAGACTAATATACCCATTGAAGCATTTCAACAAACACCTTGTAAACCAAAAAACCGATAAAGTCATCACTAAAAAATGCCAACTTGTCGCAAATCCTTCTGAAAAAAACCCGTGACATATCACATAAGCTAATAAAAATATCTCCATTACAATTCATCTTCTGCTCCGAAATTCACAGGAGAAAAACAATTAAAGAGCTCAGAACAAGAAGATCTGATGATTAGAACAAGTAAAATGATTAGCACACACAATCACGAACTTAAATTTAAAGGATTTTCAGTAAATGCAGCGAGGATTTTAGGAACTCACTCAACTGGATTTGCCGTCACCGTCGCACAAACCAGCCTCGGTTTTCCGATAAACCAGTCAAACTTGAAGACGAATACGCACGTCGCCGTTTCTACTATACGATATCATTTCATTTGGCCAATCTTATAGCATAGATGGGCCTTTTAGGCCCAAGTTCTCCAATACTGGCAATACATGCGCAATATAGTAAAATACTGGTTCTTTTAATATTTTTTTCACAAACTGTCCATCTTTTTTATACAGAAAATTTTAATCATTGAAAAAAAAAAAGGTTAAAATATTGAATGATGAATAGGAATTCTGTTCGGCGATTAAATACAAAATACTGTTGACCCAAAACAAAAACAAATACAAAATACTTTGTAGACGTAAGAAGACTATATGAGAAAAATATGAACGATCATCACAAAAACTTATAAATGGGGCACACCTGTACAGTTATAGAAGTAATTAGTACGTAATATTATAAGATAACTTTTGTTTATTAGATTAGATTAAATAATAATTTCCATGATAATCATTGCTGCCACTAGGAAGGCAAGTAGGACCGTGCGTGCAATTGGGTGACCCTCCGCATTATCTCAGTAGCGGCGAATTTCATTCTTTCGAGTTTCGGAAACTATAATATCACGCGTATACAAAAATAAATACGTACGTACTATCGAGTACACGTACATCAAACAGAGTAAACTCAATATAAAAGATCACTTTTATTTAGCATTGTTACAATATCATCATTTTATGGATTTGATTATTAGTATATTAGACATAATTAATTATAATATTAGTTAAGACTACTAGTTAATCTAAATAAATGCTCGGGGAAAAATATCCAAAGCAAAGAAAATGGTTTTGTGGCCGCATTTGGATCATGTGGAATAGTAAATTGTACGTACTCCGCCGTCAGTAAGTATAGAACTCAGCCAACTCCTCGACGGATCCTTTTTCGCGATCGTCATCATCATCGCCGAGATCGGAGCAACTGTTTTTGAGCATCCATAACAGGTGCTCGAACAATACGACTTCGCAAGCTACTAGTACAGTCTCTTGATCGTGACGCTCTTCTATGAATCTCGAAGACCGATCAAGTAGTTCTTGGAAAAGCGGATGAGCAATGATGTGGGAACTAAGCATGTACGGTCTTCGTGACTTTCCGACGTAAACCATATGGAGATCGTCGCACTTTGAGCCATCGGAGGCGGTGGACACGGTGGTTGAATGGTGGTTCTTCGTCAAGGAAGGCCATTTCTTTATGGCTGACTTGAGCTTTGTCAGTTTCCCGAATATAGCCATAAGTAGTAAATATGAGGTATAGGTATATGGAAGATGAGAAACTAACTTTCTTGGTACCTAAACGAAGTATTGGGTTCGTTTGTATTTATATAGAGAGAATAGATAGAGAAACAGAACAGCTAAGAAAGATATGGCTACACAGAATCTGTAAAACTAGCTAGTGTCTCCTTTTTCTATTCTAATTAATTAATATATCTAATTAATATTTATATAATATATATGTATGCATGTTGATATGTGCGTACGTGTGCATGTGGCCTGGAAAATCTGCTCTTGTGTATTGTTGTGTAAAATGTATCGGTGTAAAATGTATCGGACCAAGGGTTATCGACGAGTTAAAGATCATATCATGTCTACTACGTTATGGTTTTGGCCTTGTATATAACTAGTAAATAGTAAATTACCCAAGAGAATTACCCACAAAAACTTAATAATTTAGCCTAAACTTTCATTTCTTGAAATGATATTTACATTCTTATACAAAAAAATAAAATAATTTAGTGTTTTTTTTTTTTTTTGTAATAACCAAAACGGAACAACAGATGATAAAAAAAGGGACAGAGTTATATGGGACAGTTTCTTCTTTTGAACAGGCGGTCCATACATTTTTTTTTTAGTTCTTAGTATTTGTACTTTCGTAAATAAAAACAAATTCGAAAATCGAAATCATAAAAAAAGCAAAAGATAATTTATTTGGTGGACGAAAACCTTAGCGTCTGTCTATATCGAACTACGAATTGTTGAAAGATAAGCTAATAATTGAAGGAGGTCCAAGCTAGCTATATTACAAACTAGTATTTAAACAGTTTAGTCTAATAGAAATCCAAAGACAACATAAACCCCGAGCGTCATTAGTTTATCACATAATAGTAGTGATTAACTAGCAGTTGTAATCATTGTAATGAATTACTAAAAATGGAATCCAGATTTATAACTTTGTTATCCAAGTAAACGCAAAGAATATTTCGCTTATGTGCATTTGACTCTGTAATCGGTTCAATGTGTACTCTCTACTCGAAAATGTTGTACTTTTTAAAATGGTAGTTTATATATTTAAATGTTGACATTGTAATTTAGATATATAAATTTTCAAAAACCTAACGCTATAATATTTCCTAATGAAGAAATCGTTAGGTATAAATATAAATGATGAACTGTAGACACAACCCTGGACCTCGCAGACAATGCAGTGTCTCTAACATATATACCAAACTCTATTGACTGAACTTTTTATTGTTTTGTTAAATCCAACAAATCATCGAATTAAATTCAAACAGTGAAGAACAGAAGTGTGTATTTTTATTTTTGTCTCAGAAAACAGCTGTATGGTGGGCGAACAATTGCCAGCCAACAGCCAACAAAACCGAAATATTTAATGATAATACAAATATATTCTGAACAAATAAGTTAGTTGCAAGAGCAAATAAGCCAGTTGGGAATATGTTCTTCTTGCGTCACAACTTCTTTGGTTTAACGACCACTAACCATCATGCTAAATGAGTTTTGAAACTTTTTGGTTCGATTACTGGGAAAGTATATTTGCTGTACTAGTATCGGGGCATCATGCGGTGTCCTTTCTTCGATCGTGCAGCATAGTATAAAAAACCACCAGGGGTTCGTCTTGCATGTGATGGTGCTAACTGCTAAGTTTGTTTTCTTGGTAACCTTTTTCAATACATTGCGCTTATGATGCGTTCCAACTTCTTCTAATCACACTATTGATATATTTTGGTTCAAGAATGGGCCGTAATAACTTACGGAAAAATAGGACACAACAAACCAAACCCTCTATAGTCTATACCAAACCAAAACAAAATCAAATTTTGTGGGTGGTGGTGAAAAAAAGAAAAAGAAATCAATTTTGCTAGGAGCAAAAAAAAAAAAACGATGGACCTTTACAAAGGTGAGTCGGATATTTACAAGATGTTGCTGTTATGGTGTGCGGTCCTGTTATTATGTCTGTTCAACCCTGTAGTACCTGTCAAGTAACCACCGTAACCTTCCCATGCAAGTCACTTTTTCTTCTTCCCACCCTTTTTACCATGGTCTTCCGGAGAATACCCACCGAGCAAATTCATTTGAGAAACCAGGTAGTACATCAGAACCACCAATTATAGGAAACTGTAAATAAAGGGAAAGATCCAATCGGGTCAGTGTCTTTGAGAAAAATCGATAACTTGAATAGGAATGATTGTGGAGATGAAGGAAGAAATTACATCAAAACTGGAGTTTGTATCAGTTAACGAAGTAACGGATTCATCCAGGTCGGTGAACAAGTTATCTGAGGAACAAGACTTTGAGCTGCAAGAAACATTTAGAACATTACAAGGCTTACTTTGAAAGATAATTCATGTCTGAACATCATAAATGTATCAGAATGCTATAATGCTATAAGCAAAGATGTATACGGACGAATTTTTTTACCTGCAACGTTCAAATATTTCTTCCGCTGGAGTAAATTTAGTTTTGTACGAGTGAGCAAAGCCAGGTACATCACTGGGCCTGTGCGATAAATGATTAGAGGAACTGCCTGTAAACATCTGCCCTGACCCTGTTTCTCTTAAAAGATCTTCATTGCGCATAACCGAAAGAAAGCTGAAGATGTGATCAAACAGAGAGGTAGAAAAATTTAGAAAAGAGTTTTAATAAATGCTTCAAACATGTTAAAGATAACCTGATTCATACCTTAGAGAAGCTGGTTCAGTTTCACAGAATGGGAAATCTATATTTGTTCCTGAGATACCCCCATTTAACCCTTCATGTGAAGGCTGAGAATTTTCGCGCACCAGCTCCTCCAGATTCAACTCACAGTCCATGAGAATATTATCAGAAAATGATCTTCTAATTAGTGGCCTGCAGTTCATATTATATAAAGATATATTAATATTTTGTAGTTACATGTCAAGTCAACTTAGAGTAACTTCTGGTTTAGCCAAATTTTCAACAAAATTAGGTACCTCATATTTTCGATATCCAAGTTTGAACCAGATCTTCCAATGTTGTGCTGGTCAGAATCCAGCTCCCATAGTGCTGGCCTCCCCAATCGAGGCCGGAAATGCCCCAAGAACCTGTCAAGATAGACAATCTTCAGACTAAGTGAACAAGTAGCAAATTTAGAGACGAAAAAACAAAACTAGTAGTTTGTAAAACGGAGCTTACACATTGATGGCATTCTGCTTATCACTGTCCTGATACGCGTTATTGTAGTGACGACGCATAGCTGTGATTAAATCACGCTGCCTCCTCACCATGTTCCAGTTACCTCTCAGATCACAAAACATCTGTATACCATAAACTTTCTAAAGTTGATACTCACAGTTCATAGATCCATCTAAAGCATAGTAAGAAAATGTGTTGGTAAACCAATTTACCTTGCTGTGTGCTTCCGAGCCACCATACTGCAGCGCAAGTGTATTACCCATGTTTTGGTAAACTTCCATCAATTCTATTGCCAGAGGATTATTAAGATCGACGACAGGAGGACCTGAGATGCCCAATGTACGTAGCTGATGCTCAAGAGCTACCAATCCGTGGGCGTACTGCGCAAAATTAGTGCGATCCAAGCAGTCTATGCAGTTTGTCCTCAAGACCCCATTTTGGAGCAAATATATATCCGCCTTGAAAGTTTTTCTTTCTGGACTACTTGCCTCTTCATCTTGACTGGGAAGAGGGTTACTGAAGCACAGTAGCATTAGTATTAGGACTTACCAAAAAACGTGAAATAAATTTAAAACTATGTTATCAGAGAGGCAATCAGTAAATATACAGCTAATGTTACACTGACACTGCTTTTGCTATATACATAGCATACCAAACTTACTTGTAAAACGAATCATAAATTACTCCATCACCTCCTACACCTGAAGGAGCTTTACAGTAAAACAAGTCAGTTAATTCCAAGGCTTTCCTTGAAAAGATACACAGGTGGTTGAATGCACCATCTGCTCCTCTGCCAAATTAAAGGAAAACTGTTTAACAATTCTAGTATATAAATACTTGTTACAAACTAATTCTGCTTAAAGAGTGCATAAATGCAGTACTTTTTGTAGTGTTTGCTTAGATCAAAATGGATTGCCTTTAAACGATTTTCCTTGTCCGCGCCTTTGTTAATATATCGGATTGTCTTTGCAAACTCTCCCCGTAAGATGGTTTCCCGATGCTTTTTCTCACCTGTCTGATAACACAAAATAGCAACGGTATATACACTTTATCTTTTCAATAACCCAAGGACAGGCAGAAGCAATGTCTAAAATGAGAGAGCCTACCTTTAGGAGGTTCAGAATTATTATCCTCTTCCCATACCTCTGTCTCAGATTCTCAAAGTGGTGTTGGGTAGCCACGTAATTCGCATCCTTCTTATTCACTGTGTCCCATAAAAGACAAAAACAAGAGTATTAAGGTAAAATAAGAAAAAACTCAGGAAACTTTCCGCAACTTCATATTGTGCTTACATATAATCTCGGGCTGTGGGTTGAAAACAGATGCCTCCTGTGACCAAAATAGGGGTATGGAGCCTCTAATCTGCACAACTGAGGTTATTGGGATTTTCTCACCTGCAGGAACCACTCTGGAAACAATCTGCTCCGTCTCAACATCATTGGCTACTCTGCCTATATCATTTACACCACGCCTTAAATATCTGCACATTAACAAGGAGGAGATTAGATCAAAGCACATCAAGACTAGCCCCTATCTATGAGAGTGAGTACTGAAATATGGTATTGCGTAAGTCCAATATTACAATTATGTTAGAGAACAAGTAGGCCGTGACACAAAATAGAGAGGAAACAAAGAGAAGAAGAACATAGCAGGTAAAGATTTCAAAAGGAAGAAATACCTTGTACCAGCATAATGCCGTGAACGCCGAGCAATGATAGTGAAGACAAACTCTTCACCAGATACTGAACATTTAGTCTAGACAAAGCAAAGGATCAGTAACCATTATTAGGTCTTATGTTCTGAGGAAAACTTTAGGTTACCAAAAATTTCGAAAAACTCCAGTCTAAAGCATTGATAAAGGCATGCATTTGACAATTACCTGCTGAAAGAATCCGTATACCAATGCAACTGTCCATATGGTATTCTGCAGGATCCTTCTGATCTCGCGTGTTAAGAAGGCATTCCACACGAACATTGTGTTGTCATGAACGTTTCCTCGCTCAGTGTTGCCAATGTTCTTTTGAAGGGTATACATGAGGTGATATGTGTAGCTGAAGTAGAAGTTTTTGCTAAGGTCCACCACGCTTAGGAGCCTCTTGTACCTACAAAGAGAAAGGGGAATACATTTCGGATACGCCTTCTGCTAAAGTTTACACCAGAGAGTTTTCATTTGAAATAGCATAACCATTAGAAGAGTTATCGGTAAAATACCTCTGCTCGGCGTCAGACTTGGCTACTTTTGTCTGGATGGAAGGATGTGGAATCACAATCATTTGACTCTCAGCTATACCATAAACTGTGTGGCCGCAGATCTCACCCACTTTCTTTCTTTTAGTTATGACCAGCATGTAATAAGGCTCCAAGAATTTCACAAACCCTGCACCCCCAAGAATCAACATTTCCCCCATGAGTTCAGAGCCATACACTGACTGACTGACACCTCCAAAACAATGGGAAAGGGCAAGAAACAGTGGAAGGTAAAGAAAGAGACTTACCAATGATACCATAGCAAGTAGCGATTGCTTTAAAGCCACCAGAATCCTCGTTCCCAACAATCATCCGCCTTTTGAGTTCGCGCATTTCTTCTCTTGTGTACCTTGTAGGATCTTCGAATAAATTCAACTCGTTTAAGTCCCTTCGATCAATCTTAAGAATCCTCCGGAAGCTTTTGTTCTCATCTCTTCCAATCAAATAAAAATTCTGCACAACAACAATACACATATATTCACCAACTTTAAAAGTCAAAAAGGTAGTGATTTCACATGAGAAATCTAGAAATATTGGCCAACATTCATGTAAGCAACATGCTGATGAAAAGTTTGTAAATGATTAGAATACTTAGAACCAAAGACTATGTACATAATGTCAAGCTAGAGGCTCATATACCTTACACTACAACCATATGAAACCACCAAGCAAGCACAACAGAGTCATCATCATCGAACGATAAAAAAAAAGCATCTTAAAGAATTCAAATCCAATTATTGTGCAATAATGTCAAACAAAAACAAAATCCATTTAATTGTAACAGTAAAAGAAGATATCAACGCAATTATGGGATAAAAAAAAAAAAAAGATTGGCATTGATGCAAATCAAGATAAGTTTGAAAGAGACGAAGAAGAACAACAAGATTCCACATAATCAAAGATCATAATCTGAACGAAATAAAAAGAAAGAGAAGGCTTTTTGAGTTTGTGAATAGTTTACCGAGGGAGTAGCGTAGAGCTTGAATTTCTGAAGAACGGGCAAGTCAATCAGTTGGGGCCTCGGTTCGAACCGAGGCTCTGATCCCATCAGACCAGATAAAATCTGAAACTCCGAAGTCTGAATGAAAAGCTCCGACCCGATTACGACGAATCAGTGGATGATAAACAGCCCGGAAGCAGACGGGAAAACTAAAAAGCGAGAGGGGATTAGAAGAAGAAATGAAAAATGGGTATTGGAATTGAGAGGAAGAGATAAAAGACGAAGAAGAGGATTCGGGGGAAGGATGATAGAGAGGGGTGGAGCCGTCGAAGGATGGTGACCAGGTCCAAGGCGAAGAAGAGAGATGACTACTTGTTTGCTTGTTTGTTTTTCTTTTTAAAAATGGTAAAATTTAATAATTTAGCTTTTATTTGTTTACCTTTTGGGCGCTAATTTCCCCCTTTACTTATAGCCTTTACGATACGCCGCCGTTTTCTTTTATTTTGTTAAAAAAGGTCCTTGCCTTTTGCGTCTTCTGATTTCTTTTCAATTGTTTATACATCAAATTTTACTTTTTCACCTTTTCTAATTGTCAAATATTTTAAAATTCTGTTTCCTCTACATTCCTACTATATATCTTCTATTTTCAGTTGATAGACCATTTCTAAATCAAATTATGAAACGATTTGTTAAAACCGAATACATATATAGAATGGTATGTAAATACTATAGTTTACCTGATCAGCTAACCAAACCGTGCAGTTCTTTTTTTTTTTAAACGTATGGAATGTAAAAATGTTGAATCGTATCGAAGAGATGCACGCTAAACACATGGAGGGAGAGATCGGGACCAACATCACATTCACATTCACATCCATAATAATTTATAGTTCATGATGATGATGATGATGATCTTTTCTTATAAGCTAGCTTTATTAATATATTTCACGATCTTTGTTCTTTTTAATTCTTTTGTTTTATTATTATATAGTTCATCTTGGTCCAGCTTCCGATATACTTAAACGACTAATTCTAAACTGATTAGCAATACTTCTAATGGAATTTTATAATGACCTTTACCCTAAAACTATATACGTACATGGACCGATGGACGAGTTTTTTTTTTACCATACCACCACGGCACAATCAACATGTTTTTTTTTTTGAATTCACTCACTTTCCGTTCTATTTACACAACTCTTTCGTCTGAGTTCTGACTAAAAAAAATAAACCGTACGGTAACAACGAATATTCGTTGTTTTCATACATTGATTATTGTAAGTGTAAAATTAAAAAGCGGCTGAGTTTTAGATCAGCCTTATTAAAATCACAGAATGAACGCGTAATGGCCGACCTGTTCGATGGGTTGAATCACTAATCCTCTTGATGTTGGACATGTGTGTTTTTGTAGAATGGTATTAAATCGTATCTATACGCGATTAGTCATTTTTTTTTTCTTTAATTGTAACTACTACAAACCAAACGACTTGTCTAAATGTGAATAATCAACTCTATGCATTACATATTTTTAATTAATTTCAAAACAAATTCCTTGTGTACGAAGTTAACTCTCTTTCATATATAATATAGTTTATCTTAACAACTGATTTTTAAAGCAAAGTCCTAAACAGAACAAAAAAATTTCTCGGGGAATAATTGTCTGAAAAACAAAAACTGAATGAAACATTACTGCAAAATTTTTAGCTAAGTATATAAGAATTCTTACCAATTTTTTTTTTTTTTACCGAGACGTGCAAGTAGCATTTTTGTTGTTATACAAATGAGAGATCCAACAAACGAAACACATTACATAATTGTAATTACAATACAATAACTTTCGTCAATACATTCTTAAATCATGTCAGTTTGATATAAAATAAATACAAATTCATATAAAAAATGTAAATGTTAAATTATGGCCGACCGATGATGATAGCCTCGCAACGACTTAACCCACTCAAAAATTCCAGAAGACATCTTTTTTTAAGTCATGTTAGATGGTATCATCATCTTCCACTAATATAATTTGAAGAAGACTTATAGAGACGAAAATGGAAAGTCAATATTTAAACCACTGACTATATAAAAACCCTTTACGAAAAAGACAACAACTGACTTTGCGTAGGCGTCAAAAACAAATATGAAAAAGAAAAAGACTTGGCTCTCTCTCTCTCTCTCTCTCTCTCTCTCTCTCTCTCTCTCTCTCTCTCTCTCTCTTTAACAAACAAAATAAAGAAGACAGGCTCTCTATCATGTAAACCTTGATTCATTCCACCATCATTGCCATTCACAAAATAAAAATTAAGCTAAACCTAATTATTAGCAAATTTATTAAAAATATTTGATTATAAAAAAAACAAAAGCGTTTTTAACAATGTAAAATTATGACGAGGAATGTAAACCACAGATCGGTCGGTTCTTGTCGGGTAGACAGCTTACTCATTTAAATCCAGTTAATAATAAGTAACCGGTTGACATATGATATGTCACATATTCCACTGCTTTTCTTCTTCATGCATCATTCTTAACTATTCAAGCAGAGCCATCCCACTCTTGATAGAACTCCTGAAGAAACTCTTGCATGAACTTGTGCCTTTTCTCTGCCCTCCTTCTACCCGCCTGATAATTTTATATTAAGTCCCGCCACTTTCAAATCTCAAATCGAATAAACTTCCCTCATACACATTATGGAACTGTTTTTCCGGTTAATCATACCTCGGTTTTCATCAGCTTCTTTAGCTTGAGGAGTTTTTCATGAAAGTGATTAATGGTCGTTTGCTCCTCTTTCTTAATGTACTGCTCTCTGGTTAGCTCTGTCCGGGGCTTGATTTCAGGATCATGAAGCACTCTGTCCCTGCTTCCACCAAATGTAAAACAACGAGCAATTCCTAAATCGGAAAGAGAAGAACAACAACTAGTCAGCAACTACAAGCACACATTTCCTAGCATAGAAAATGACATTATTTACAGCAGATAATTTGGCAATGACATATCAAAAAAGCTAACTCTACACACAAGATAGCATTCTTCTTTACCTATGGCACCAATTGCATCAAGGCGATCAGCGTCTTGAACTACCCCAAATTCTGGAAGAGATTCGCAGAGTGCTGCCCCAGCTAGTTCGTCTTTGAAACCTGGAAACCATACACTATTACTTAGACGCAGTGAAAACTCATGCAAGTTAGAGACCGGATATGCTGAAAACTAACCCATTCCATTGATGATCTTTAGTATCTTCATCTTCTTGGTCTCTTCTATACCTTCCTCATCCAGGAAATTCTCAACAATTTTTGCTTCTGAAGGGTCTCTGAATCCCGGTTTTAATATTATTTTGCCACATGTCAGGGGCAGAGAAATTTAGTCTTCATCACTCATATTTTTCTAACTATATAAATCCACTGTAAGTTCCAGTTAGTAGAGCTTAACTACTCCTAGGGTGAGCAAATCTGGCAGAAGTAATATCTCACAAGCCTCACCTAATGGCATCCAATATAAATAAGCATTTGCAAACAGATGAATTAATCTACTACTCCAGAAGCTCTTGGAAGTGTATCAAATCATCCAGGTTAGTTCAAACAAAGTTAAAAATGCAGGGGAACATAGAGAGTGTCAGGGGTAAAGTAAACACTTTTATATCGTATGATCAAGAATGTGGCAAGGGACTGGAGCTACTCAAAAGAAAAGAAGACTTGAAGAAACCAACCTTATGTACTTGTAATCACCTGACAAGATAGACAGCAAGAGATGATATCAATCTCTGGAGTATAAACACATGGCTTAAAGAAGAGGGGGAAACAGATATGGTACCTATATCATGGAGAAGAGCAGCTAACTCCACCTACAAAATCCAACAGAAATGGTACATCTCACAATCTATATATAAATATTACTACAAGGACTAACTAGAAGAAGAATACTCAATCGGCACCAATGAACTAGAATCGTGATATAGATAATTAAGGGTTTAAATTGTAACTCACAATTTCCATGGAGTCGGAGTTGGAAGAGAGACCTTCCTCGCGAGCAAGGGAGAGAGCAAGGTCTCGGACCCTCCACACGTGCCAGGCGTCATGAGAAGCATCGTTTCCTTTCATCGCCTTATTCACCAGCTCCTCCGCCTTCTTCATCACCGCCGTCATTTTATCTACTCTCTCAACTACGCTGTTTCGAACCTCTGTTCTGTAATTGATTTGATTCCACTTATTAGCCTGTCTCCGCGCGATGTTGTTGACCATTTCAACGGAATCGATAATATAGGGAAAATCTTATTTTTGAGGTTTACCTTTTTACCCTTCCGCCCAAACAAAGAGAATCTTCCCACAGTATTCACATCGAACTGTTAACTATGCATACAAAACTCTAATCAAAAAAAGATTTTAAGTCCAGCTTCCTTAAAATATCTTATTATTTCCATTGATCGTCAACTAATCCTCCCGATTCCAACCGCATTAGTCAAAATAAAAAATATCGATTTTTATATGATTTATGATCTTTATCTTCTTATACCAAATTGAGTGGTTCTTTTGAACTTCCAATACAAAATGAATGGCTCTCCAAACCTGCTTATTGCTTAACGTAGTTAAGAAAACTGGCAGCATTCATATATATGAATCAATTTATCTTCAAACGTGTAAAATTTTCGCTAGCTGATTAATCAACTATTAATTTACTACCTAGTAATTAAACCCATACATATATATTCTTTTTCCATTAACCATTATATGGATCTAGATCAGTTTATTAGATTGTAATCATCATTCAATCAATATAATCGGTCACTTGTTGGTCACGATTGAGATCATTTGGTTTTAATATTTAACTCGTCATTTAGACCATCCTTAGATATTTTACCGTGATTTTTGGGATTCTTTAAGTTAACTAACGTAAGCAAGAAGCCGTGTCACATACATACCACATACGTATTACTTTCTTCTGCCGGCATGGCATGCATCATACATGCACGTCACACTTATACGTGTGTGTGTGATGATGGATATGGTGAAACGCGATTCTCTTATCTTTGAGTGGACTATATATTATATGAAAATATTACGTGTATCACAATTGATTATTCAACGAACGAGTAAAATGGGAAGTAGTATCTCGGACATACATATATTTCTATAAAATGTGTCTAAGAAAAGACGTGTCCTACATTTTATCGAAAGGCTACCATTAATTCATGGAATCATTCCGAAAAAAATGTTAAATAATTGGCGGTGCATTTAATACCAAAGTTTCCATATATGAAGCAAAATCTTACAACTGCCTTTATTACAACATAACGACGAACAACTATAAAACCCCACGTCCAAGAAAAACCTAATGATTACTTTCTTTTATCTCTCTCGCTCTCGCTCGCTTTGGTCATGGAAGAAGAGAGAGAAACATCGTCGATGACGTGCGTGACGTCCAAGGATCCCTTCCAAATCCCTAACGAGGCGGTTAGTAAACCAAAAAAGGAGCCAACAACAACAACATCAACAACAAAAACCCCTAAAACGACACGAGGTAGACAGAAGATAGAGATCAAGGAGATCATAGAAGAGAGCAAGAGACAAGTAACGTTCTCCAAACGGCGCCGTGGGCTGTTCAAGAAATCAGCTGAACTGAGCGTTCTCACCGGTGCAAAGATCGCCGTCATAACGTTCTCTCGATGCAATAGGATTTACAGGTTTGGCCATGTGGACGCATTGATCGACAAGTATCTTCGTAATAGTCCGGTGAAATTGGAGGGATGTTCCGGTAATAACGTGGCGGAGGAGGAAAGTAAGAGGCCGTGGTGGGAGCGTCCGGTGGAGAGTGTGCCAGAGGAGGAGCTTGAAGATTACATCGCAGCATTGAGTGTGCTGAGAGAAAATTTAGGGAAAAAGATCATTGCCATGAGCAACGATCGGCCGGTTGAGATTGTTCCGGCATGGCCTATCAACATGATGGGTTGGAAACCAACGATGGATATGCAAAACATGGAAAATCCGACGGATGGGATTACGCGATGCCGTGTAGGTCAAAACGGCTGATTGCTTGGTTGTTTACTCGTCAAGAGTATTATTCCGATCTCAAGTATTTGATTTAGTTTTATGCGTTTAGTTATATGATTTTATGCTATTTATATTTTATTCATTGTTTTCTTGTATACTTTATACTTTTGAAATTAAATTGTTTTAATTATTAATCTTTGAACCACACATAATGTAAAAAAGTATCAAATCAGGCAATCCAGCTTCCAATGTTTTTCTTCATCCATAGAATAAAGCCTGCGCTTTGTAGTTTTAGTTTTGGCTGTCATAATATACGGATTATATGAGAGCCAAAATTAAAATATATGGCGATGAATATGAAAAATGGAGAAATAAAAACTGTTTTTATACCTCATAATTAAAGCACTTAGAATTTAGAACACACGAAACAAGTGATTCTTACAACTACCGACAAATGGTAAAAGGTTGATGCTGGTTCCTTAAGAACAAAAAAAAAAAAAGGTCACTCTTATTTGCGCGACATACCGAAACAGAACAAAAAAAAACCGTAATTCAAAACAGAAACGTAAGTCTTAGCTTAATCCATATATTAAACATGATGCAGTTGGTTTCCTCTTTCACGTTGGACCGGGTATCCAGCTGAGCTGATTCAGGCCTCATCACATCCAGTCTTATCACTGACCAATATGTTGACTATTTCTCCACGGACAGCATACTCATACTTGAGAACCTGAGATCCACATATACATTACCTAACTCATGTGCAACTCTGCATGCTTTGAAACTTCGGAGATGGTGGCCACGTGAATAGAGAACGTGATTACTGCCTACTGTGTTATTAAGGGAATTTGGAGGTATTAGTGTAAAAGTCCAATTTCACAAAGAAACAAGTTGCAGGTAATAGCTGTTTTGTCTCTACTAATCAGTAATCATGACTATTTTTTCTACAATCGTATGCAGAGTTATTGACATTTTTATACATGTATTTTAAATGAAGAAGAACGAAATTGATTCTCTGAAATCATAACTTTGATGAAAGAGTTCAACTATAGTTCTAACATATAAAATCATGTTTCTAAGAAGATTACACTTCGACTAACTGTTTATAAAAGCTCTCTCAATAATATATTATGGTTTATCACTATCAGGCAATATAAAAAGAAGAGAACATAAGGTGAACAAGAAGAAGAGAAGAGCACTAACTAATGCTCTCACATCTTAAGCTTCTGTAAACACAATGTCGATGAAAACGAAACGGAATGTGACATTTTTCTTATTATTACTCAAGATTGATCATATATCTATATAGAGAGATTTTCAAAACAGAATGCTTAGTCGCGGAACTCATCCATGAAGCTCTTGTGGAACGCAGTTAGACGGTCAACAATCGCTGGAATCTTATCCTCTTGGGGAAGTATAGTGCACCTGAAATGCCATGTTCCGGGTACCTAAATCAAACCAAAAGAAAAGAACACACAAGATCAGTAACTGTAAGTCGAGCTTCTGGTTCAGTTCTTTGGAGCAAAAGCTTTTTCTTTTTTCAAACCTGTCTAAAGCCAGAACCAGGGACTACAACTATTCCAGTAGCTTTTAGAAGGCGTTTGCAGTAGAAGTTGTCTGGTGCTGTCTTTTCCGCCTCTGCAGCTGCAATCGCTTTCTGTGAAAGGTTAAGGCAAGGGAATAGATACATAGCTCCTTCTGCTCTATTGCATGTAACGCCCTCTAGCTTGTTTAGAGCCTCTTCAAGAGTCTGCACGGTTAGGATTCAAACGCATTAAGAACAGAAACATCTAATGATTAGTCCTAATTCTCTATAATATGGCTAACCTTTGCACGTTTTGCTAAAGACGAGAGAATTCCATCCTTCTCTGCGATGTATGATTCGTAGGAATCATCACCAGGCTGATACAATTTCATAAAAGCTGTTAAAGTCAATTATCTGATGCAAGTTCAAGCCACTTGGTGGAAATGAAATCAATTGTGAATCTGTGATGAGAAAAGTCATATACTGTAGATGCTTTATACCTTGGGTGGGCTCATGATGAGGCTAGCAAGAATTTGACCACCGATGTTGGAACAAAGATTCACAGAAGCAACTTTGTAGATCTGCTCTCTTACATCAGAAGTAAATCCAGTAACCTCCATGTAACCACCTCTCTTCCCACACTCTCCATGGTATCCTGTCGAAAGTATGAATCCGGTTTTAAGATTAATTTCTTATCGCAATAATGAGAACCTTATCAATTGACTGAGATATTTGTTCTGTTTCAAACCTTTGGAGATAGACTGGAATGAGACTAAGGCAAGATCCTTCTCACCATAGCCCATAGACCGGGCTACTTTCTTGAAGGAATGAAATTTCTTGTCAGGGACGTAAACATTTTCTTGATAAACCTCGTCCGCTAGAAGAACTAAACCCTCTTGCTTGCAGAAATTAACAACGTCACGTTGGTTTTCTTCCGAAAGAACCTTAAAAGGAGAATAGCAGAGGTCACATTTAGACAAGTCGATAGTTTGCATGGATATAGATTTGTGAGTTTTAGTCTCAAAAGATCCATTTACCTGCCCTGTCGGGTTTCCAGGGTTGATGACAGCCAAAGCTCTCACAGTGATGCCTTTTGACCTAGCATCTTCAAGTTGCTTCTTTAGCTCAGATATTTCAAGACCCCATCCTGATGCTTCGTCAAGGTAGTATGGAACCTACCCAAAGAAGATGAAAACAATCAGAAGACAAAAAAAAAACTCAGAAGTAGATTAATTTCCCCAGGCAATATAGTCATCAGTCAAACTGTTATCATCATCAGAAACAGACATTACAAACATACCAAAGTTCCACCGTGAAGGGCAATCGATGCTGAGTACAATGGGTACTGAGGAATAGGGCAAAGGATTCCATCTTTCTCTGAACTTATGAGAAGTTGCATCATCATATGAACCTAGAACGAGAGGAACATTATTGTCACCTTCAAAACAAGGTGTTCCAAATTCTACGAGTTTAGAGAATTTTGATAATCATTACCCCTGGGCTTGCGCCATCTGTCATGAAAATATCATTAGGATCAGCAGGGAAACCATCACGGGCTTCCATTCCAGCAGCAACTGCATCACGTAATCCCTTGATACCCTGAGGCAGAATCAGAAGATTAAGAGGCTGGATCATTTATTGAGAGGAAGAAAGATATGCTATCAAGAGTTATAATGCCACAAACCTGGCTGTGGCTGTAAGCACCAGTCGCTTTCCCGGGAATTTGGTCCAGGATCTTCCAAGCCCGCTCAATTGAATCAGAACTAAAAAAAAGTTGCAATCAATGTTAAACAAGTCTTATACCACGAAAGAAACACGATTCAGAAGCTGAAAGTTATACTGATGTAAAAACATATAAACCAGTTTTGGTACCTGAACAAACCATGTGTTGCACTCTCGTCCAACAGGGCTGTGTGTGAACACAGTGCAAGAACCTGAGACATAGATGTTACAAGTTAACTTACAAGTAACATATGGAAAAAATAGCACCATAGAAGCTCACTTGTTTACCTCTCTGAAGAATGTTATAGGCTGCTGACCAAGAGACTGAGGATTCCCGATATTACAGTAGATTATCTGTCAAAAGCATAGAAACTTGTAAGCTTTATTCATGATAAGAATCAAGTTAGACAACACGAAAAAGGACTAAACCGATTATAATGTACCTCATCAAAGGGATAAGCGTCCTTGTTAATCTTCAAATCTTCTTGTAATTTCTGTGAGATGAAAGCAGAAATCAAAATGAGCAAAACAGTATCCACTGTAAAGAAAATACAATCAAGGACAAAGATGTTTACCTGAGCAATGTTGACAATTTCTCCACGGACAGCATACTCACACTTGAGAACCTACGATCCCCCAAAAAAGAAACGATATTGTTAGAATAAAAGACCCAACCAAAAGCTTCAAGCTAGATTCAGATGCAGAACTGTTCCTTGACAAGCAACTATTCGATTAGAAAAGTATGAGCTAATCGTTTCAACAAATTAGGGAGAAAAAGTAAGGATTAAGCAATCATTTAGATCGAATCTAGGAAGAACATAAAAATCCTGAAAGGAACAGACTTTTTTTAACATCCTAAAAAGCTGAAGAACAAAAGAATTTCAAAAAGTCCAAGTTTTATATGAGTATATAAACAAAGGATTGCCTAGTGATATAATACGTAAAAGAAATAAATCCACCAAGGCGTCAACGAGGATACGAATCATATAACGAATAAAATCGACAACATAAACCTTAAGAACACAAACATGTTCTCAATACACCCTAAATCAAATACAGAGCAACCTTTAAGAAACTAAAACAAAGTTCTTCGCTTTACCAAAGCGTGAATCATTAATTTCCAGACCAGTATACAACAGAATCAAAGCTAGCTACAAACAGAACCCCAGATCAATCGAGGAAAAAAAGAAAAGAAAAACCCAAACCCAGAATGCGAAATCACTAACTCCAAAATATCAAAGTATTGTGGATTGAACAAGAGGAGTGAAAGGCGAGAGAGAAATTAAAAAAAAAAAAAACTCACCTTGGGATTGATGGTGTCAAGAGTAACTGGGAGAGAAGAAGATGAATCGGAAGCAGACATATCGGAAAAAGAAGAAGAAGACAAGAGACGCGATGAAGAAGCGGAAGGAGCAGAAAAAGGTGGAAGAGGAGGAAGATGAGAGAGAAAGGTGAGATTTTTGTGGTGATGACGACGACGAGTCTGATCTGCGAGCTTTTTGGCTTGACCAATCACGAATCTCCGCATTTGTGTTGTGTGATCAGGGATTTATACTTATATTTTTGCTTGCTGCTCAAACTAAATTTAGATTTTGCTGCTCTTTTGTTTTTGTTCAAAAAGATGAAAGTTCCCAATTCCTGTGTTCTCTCTCTCTCCTTTTCACACTGATTTTGACATTTTTTTTGTGTTCGTCCACCGATTTGGAATTTATGGAATTTGCCTTTTTTCAAACGAATATTTATTAATTTATTGCTTTTTTCCTTTTTCTTTCCTATATTTGTCAAAAAAAGTATTTGTCTTTTTCGATTTGTTTCTACAATTCCTTATCCAAAATTTGATTTTTCTTATGCCATTTATGTAATTATATAGTGGTTTTTAGTTGAATATATTAATTGAGCAATTAAAACCGACTATAAACAACTTCTGGATCGTGGATTAAGACAAAAACATGTGTTTTAATTTTATTGTTCGGGGGTCAGCGCTTAAATCGCTGTTTACAAATCTCGCTAATTTTAATATGCATGTCCTTTTCATATTGGGCCGAATAACGTTTCAGATTCTCTTCCGGCCCAACCTGTTCGTGAACAAAATTCATCATGTTATTAAACAGCAACACGACGTCACCTTTGTACGCTTAAAAAAAAAAGCTATAAAAGCGGCTTCAGTTTTTTTCAGCGTCTTCCTTCTCAATGACTGAAATGGATTCATTGAGCTTGAATAGCCAACTGTTTTTGTTTCATCGAGTCTTGTTCTTATGTTTCATTGTGATTATAAAAATAATTCATTATTGCTGTTCTGCAGTGAGAACTGAGAAGTAATGAGCGGAAATTAAGACAGCCCGCTAAACAATACGCATATACTTAGTTTTCACCTGTACTTGGTTTGAGAAAATATCCTATATTTTGGTACAACAACTTACATTTGATACTACGGATTTGACTCTGAGGTTGCATTTGTAGCATAAGAGCATAATAACACAAGGAAATAGGTTGATCATTGTGTACTTAAAAGGGTTTAAACACCACTGATACGAACATGGTATGGTAAAGAAAGAAATCACAAAAGCAGAGAAGAAAAGATGAACACAAAGACTAAAAATTGAGAATTTGAAGGTTTCCTCCTTTCTTGATCAATGAAATTGTATGCACGATAATTAAAAGAAGATAAAAGAGTTTATATATTTCAAGTAGATTACAGCATTAAGAAACACATGTCTAGGTACCTATTCTACAAAAATAGAAGGAAAATAAAACGTGGAGGATCTAAGATCAAAAAAGAAGAAAGAAAAAAACAACTGATGCCTAAGGTTTTCTTGATGCTGTGACCTGCTGGTTCCTACTTCCTTCAACATCTACTGGTGGATTACACCTGATACACAAAGAAACTCTCTTGATGTCAGTTACCCTAAAACCCATCTTTGCTGATACCAAACAAAAATAAAAATATTGTGTCTCGTTACTTCTTTTACTTGTTCTGTATAGGGTTTGAGCCACTCCTTGGGATTCTTCTGAAGCTATCTTTTTCTCCCCTAACCGGCTCTTTCTTCATCTCCTTGCTTATCTGAAAATCTCTTACAGCTTGACCAGAAGGTGTCATCGTTAACAGAGAACGGCCCTCTACACTATACTTGCTGCTAAAGATAGCTACAAGTAACAGAAGCAGAGCCACTAAACAGTATCTCTTCATTGTAAGTTTTTTCTTCTTGTAATCTTCAGGAGTCTTGAAACCTTTGAACTTGTACCTGTTATGTTCTGTTCTTGTGAGTGTAACCGAGAAAGAGAAATAGAGAGAGAGAGACGAGAGACTTCTGAAGCTTGGTACTATATAGAATAAGATATATGTGTTTGAACACATAGTTATTGGGATCTGATCACGTGATCTTCACTTTGACTGCTGTTATTAAATCAGATGGCGAGAGATACTTATCTTATTCTTAATCATTTACTGATGATGATGATGATATTCCTCAGCATCTACATTGAAACAAATGATACAATATATCATATGTTCAGAGAGAGAGACAAAGGTCCACCACATATACACATTACCTAACTGCTTTGAAGCTTAAGAGGATGGATGGTGGTCATGTGATTAGAGCACGTGATTTCTGCCTACTCTTATCGGGGAACTCAAAAGAGGCTGAAACATAACTTTGTTGAATTTTATAAGCTTTTTCTTCTCTCTTTCTATAAGACATCAAACTTTGGAAATTGGTGGTCTTTAGTATATAAGTCCAATTTTCAGAAATTGCAGCTAACAGCTGTTTTGTCTCTCTACTACTAATCTCTATTTCTTTTCTTCTTCTGCAGTTATTTAGGAGTCTATATTTTAATACAGAGAAAGAAAAAATTGATTCCAAGAACGAACCGGCACAGATTCTTGATGAGTAGATCCTCCCAAGTGGGATATTAAAATCACTAATCCGCAACTAGAAAAGACGTTTTAGCTCGTGGTCTTGTTGTTATCAGTTGTGTGGCTTACAAATAACGAACCGGAACGGATTAAACAATACCGGCCCAATTTGTGGGGTAAAGTATCGAATTATTGTTCGGTTTAACTAAACCAGCTGGAAGTTAGTGTTAGGCTATTCTCTCTGGTCTCTAGTCTCTCTCTCTCCCCCCCCCCCCCCCCCCCACGAGAAAGAGAAAGTGATTAACCAGAAACCCCAGCCAGCAGAGAAAAATATTTGTCGACAAAATTGGATTCAGGTGCTCAATTTCTTCCATATTTTCCCCAATTCTATATTGGATCTGATTTTATCTACTTTGGAATGTTTTAGCTGCTTTCATCTTGATGTGATTTATCTTCTTCTTTTGCGTCTCTGGGTAAAGATCGAAGCTTGAAATTGCAATTGGAATCTCTATCAAAACTGAGTCTTTTCTAGGGATTCTCCTTGTACTTGTTTGGAATTCGATTGAATTTGTGTTCTTTTCAGTGATTTGTGGTTTATATGTCCCCAAGCTCATTGATTTTGGGGATTCTTATTAAAATAGGGGTATCTCTGGTAATCATAGTGTTGTTTGATTCAGGTTTCCATTTGATCTTGCGTGTAATTGGGTTCACTTACTTTTCATTCAGGTCATGAGAGTGTTGCTAATAGCTGCAAGTATTGTATTGTTTGTTTTCTCTGTATGCAGTTGGGAGGTAGTCCAATAGGTTAAGGTTTATATCAATGTCACGCAAAATTGGTTTCGGGATTGTTACTTTCTTTTTGTCTTTTCTTGTCCATGATAAAATTTCTAAACTCTCCTGAAATAAATCTCTTGATATAATCTGTTTACAGTTCATATATGTAATTCAGGGGTTATGTTATTTTCCCGACGGTTTTTGATTCCTTACTATTTTGAATTCATTTCTGTTTGAGGTTTAGGTAACAATTGATGCCACAGATTCTGTTTGGCATACGCGGCATGATTTTTTTCTTTCTTTCTAAATGATCTGACAAACAATTAGTTTGTTTTCTCTGTTCACTTCATTAGTAGATACACTTTCACTCTAATTTTACAGTTCGTTTTGTTGATTATGTTAAATGGGTTTAACAAGCTGCAGGTATTCACTTAGAACATAGCACTTAGATGGCAGAAAAGGCTTGTATAAAACGTCTCCAAAAGGAATATAGAGCACTTTGCAAGGTATACTCTCTCTTTTGCTGTTCCTACCTCTCTCGAGCAGGAACCTGAATTCTTCATTTTTATACCCAACCAGTTTTCTATTATCTTTTTTAATGATGCTGTATCTGTATATAAATGTTTTTCCTTTATTTTTTGGTCTAGAGTAAGTTTCATATATTTATTTTTTTTTTGTCTCTTTGGGGGTTAATTATAATATGATCTGTTTTGTTCCTTTAGGAGCCAGTCTCCCATGTCGTTGCTCGTCCTTCCCCAAATGACATTCTCGAGTGGCGTAAGCCTTTCCTATTATTTTTTTGGTTTTTGTCTTTATTTCTCCTACTGGCTTCCCCGTAATCACATTGTAATGATTACTTTGATAGAATGGTGAATAATTATCAAAAGTTTATAAAAACTATAAGAGTAAATGCATTGATTTGATATCTTTCTTCTTAATTGTGCATGGCTTGTCAGTGTTACTGTTAGCCTGATAGCGGTTAGGGATTTTCGGTGATTCTAGTATGACTGCATTTAGTATGTTAAAAAGGTAGCATGATCTCTTACTAACAAAGCGTCAAATTATTCGATTAATCTTACAGACTATGTGTTGGAAGGTAGTGAGGGAACACCTTTTGCAGGTGAAAATCGTCTTTCAAAGTTCCTTTTTAGTGTTGTCTTTTGCAGTATCTTATTTTTTTATACTAATTTTTTCTTTAACAGGCGGATATTACTATGGAAAGATCAAGTTCCCTCCCGAGTATCCTTACAAGCCACCCGGAATTACGTATGTCTTAATAGATTTTCCTAATTTAGTCTCAACATTACTCTTCCCTCGTTTTTTAGTCCAGTTTCTGATGAACCAAATCTTTTATTGTTTGCCTCAGAATGACTACACCAAATGGTCGATTCATGACACAAAAGAAAATCTGCTTGTCTATGAGTGATTGTAAGGACAATCTACACTATCTGTTTGTTATTTCATTTCTGTTAAGTTGTCCAATATCTAAGTAACGCTACATGGCATCTACAGTTCATCCAGAAAGCTGGAATCCGATGTGGTCTGTGTCAAGGTATAGATTCTTTCTTTACTTTGGACGATGGCGATCAATATACCTGTTGATAACCAGCTTTTTTTTTGTGGATGCAGCATTCTTACAGGACTTCTCTCATTTATGGTAAGCTCATTGCAGGTTCTATAGATTTTATGAACATTTTGTTTGATAAATCTCATATTGTAAAGGTTTATTAACTTAGAACTGATTTAACATGTCACTGTCTTTTGTTTTTATCCTCAACTTTTCTCTAAACGTTGTCCTTGTGGCGCAGATGGATACCAGTCCGACAACTGGAAGTGTGACCACTACTGTAGCTGAGAAACAATGGTTGGCTAAGTCATCTCTCGCATTCAATTGTAAAACGTAAGATCATCCGACCATTTAAATGTTGGCAAGTTCTGGTTTCATATAGAAGCTAACTTTTTGTGTTTAGGATAGTCATAAAAATTTGTTAGATGACCAATATAGGAATGCATGCGATACTGAGCTTACATGTTTTTGGTCTTTCACCTTGAACCAATTTTCTTACTTTGTCACAGCCCAGCATTTCGAAAGCTATTTCCAGAGTACGTAGAGAAGTACAACCAGCTGCAACTAGCTGAGGAAGCTGCCACGCAACCGACAGCACCAGAATCTCCTCAAAAGAGCAGTACGAAAGCTGAGTCAGAGAAAACCGTTGACACAGCAAAGGAGGACTCAGAAGGTGTCTTGAAGGAGAGGAAAAAGAATAAGAAACAGGGATTACCAGCGTGGATAATATTGTTGCTAGTGTCGGTTTTCGGTGTTGTAATGGCTTTGCCTTTACTTCAACTGTGATGTCTATGCCAACAAACCCCGACCTGGACAACTCTTCCAGTAAAATCTCCTTGTCTCTCGCCTCAGTATCAAGAGTAGTCTCCTTTTGTCTAGTGCTCTTCTTCTGAATTTACTCATTTTAGCACCTCATGGTTTGTGCTTGTAAAAGCAGAAAACATAAGTTTGGTTTTCACATTTATATACATATTGTAGCTTTGTTGAAACTACTTTGTATAGTATATATGAACTGAAGGTAATGGTTTGCATTTATCAATTGTACATCTCCGGGAGCTCACAGGTTGATTCGTCAATCAAGTCGTACTCACTTACTGTGTGATAAAGAACAGAGACTTATACACAATATTGTCATCTTCAGAGTTCATAGAACCTTAATCAGCTTTGATATTGCATTAGAGCTGCTCAGAGAGCTCAATAATGACCTCAACCTTGATTCTTCATCAGTCTTTTGCGATAATTAAAACCTGTATGGCTGTACCGGTTCAAAATGTCTTCACTCACCGACTCTTTTTCATCTTCTCGAGTCCAGTGATTGATTGATTACATGGTCAATCATATTAAAGTAATTAATGTCTTCAAAAAATTTATCTGTTAAATTCGCATTTTCTATCGAATGTGGGTTTTTTTTTTTAATTTGGAGTTTTTGCTACTCCGAGAGAATCATACTGTTTGGATTCGTTATATCCCGGTGAATCCAAGCTCACTTTGTCTCGGCGATGGAGCGTAACTCGTCAGACGAAGAAGAGGACCACCGGAATTTGATCCCACAGAACGACACTAGAGACAACGCTATCAACCTCCGCCGGGAAAACGAGCATCAGTCCGTCAGGGCAAACGGCGGTGGCAGGAGTCCGAGATCGGCTTTCCAGATCGACGAATTCGCATCGCGAGCTGGCAACCGTTGGAAAATCTCACTCAACAAGCGTTACGTCGTTGGTGCCGTCTCTCTAACTCTATTCCTCGGGGTTTTGTTTTTATTTACTGATACTCGTAGATTCTTCTCGGTGGATCTCTCGACCTTTCAGCTTGATCCACTATCGAGTCGGGTCAAGGAATCTGAGCTACGAGCTCTGTATCTTCTGAGGCAGCAACAACTTGCACTTGTATCTCTCTTAAACCGTACATTGGTAGATCAATCAGCCAATTTCAATTCTTCGAATGCAATTGGTACTTCTCTAGTAATAGACAATGTGAAAGCTGCTCTAGTGAATCAGATTTCAATTAATAAGGAAATCGAAGAGGTGCTTCTGTCACCACACAGGACTGGGAATTACTCAAGCACTGGTTCTGGTTTAGATAGTATCAGTGGTTCTTACTATGATGATGCTAGATGTAGAAAGGTAGATCAGAAGTTGTTGGATCGGAAAACGATTGAATGGAAACCTAGATCAGACAAATTCCTTTTTGCTATCTGCCTCTCAGGTCAAATGAGCAACCACTTGATTTGTTTAGAGAAGCATATGTTCTTTGCTGCCCTTCTAGATCGAGTTCTGGTGATCCCAAGCCCTAAGTTTGATTACCAATATGATAGAGTGATAGATATAGATCGGATTAACACGTGCTTGGGAAGAACTGTTGTCGTTTCTTTTGATCAGTTCAAGGAGATTGATAAGAAGAACAATGCTCACATTGACAGATTCATCTGTTACTTCTCATCACCACAGCCTTGTTATGTGGATGAGGAGCATATCAAGAAGCTGAAGGGATTGGGGATTTCCATTGGTGGGAAGCTTGAGGCTCCCTGGAGTGAAGATATAAAGAAGCCAACTAAGAGAACTTCTCAAGAGGTAGTGGAAAAGTTCAAGTCTGATGATGGTGTGATTGCCATAGGGGATCTCTTCTATGCTGATATGGAGCAAGATTTGGTGATGCAGCCTGGTGGACCCATCAAGCACAAATGCAAAACACTGATCGAACCCAGTAGGCTGATTTTGGTTACAGCACAACGATTTATCCAGACATTCTTAGGAAAGAATTTCATCTCGCTTCATCTCCGTAGACATGGGTTCCTGAAGTTCTGGTGAGTTTTTGTTGTTGCATCTCTCTCTTTTTAGGGTAAGGAGGAACCTTGTCATAATTGCCGTTATGTATCTTGATAGTGTAGCCACACTCATTTGATTTGTGGTTTATTAATTACTAGATCTCCATCCAGTAGTTCGAAATTTGCTACACTTAGGCAATTATGTGTAGCTATTAAAAACCGGGCTAATGTTGATTATCAATATAGGGACTAGGTTTGGATTTTGACAAAAACTGTGTCTCATTTATAGCTGGCTCTGTCTAATGAAATGATTTCTGGCCAGCAATGCAAAATCGCCAAGTTGCTTTTATCCCATACCACAAGCTGCAGACTGCATCAGTCGGATGGTGGAAAGGGCCAATGCTCCAGTCATCTACCTTTCAACAGATGCTGCAGAAAGCGAAACTGGTCTGCTTCAGTCACTAGTAGTCGTTGATGGAAAAGTTGTTCCTCTTGTCAAACGTCCACCTCGCAACTCAGCAGAAAAGTGGGATTCGTTGTTGTATAGACATGGTATAGAAGATGACTCTCAGGTAACGAATTTATTACTTATTTATAGGCTAAAAACTTTATTCTCTACTTGAACTTGGTATCTCCAATGTGGTATTGAACAGTCTTTGGACGGAGGAAATTCCTTAGAGGCTCTTTGTTCCCGTCTTCTTTGACTGAGGCATTCACTTGCTTATGCTTTGGTTTTTGGAAAGTGTAGGTGGATGCTATGTTGGATAAGACAATATGTGCAATGTCCAGTGTCTTCATCGGAGCGTCGGGTTCTACTTTTACAGAGGATATCTTGCGGCTAAGAAAAGACTGGGGAACTTCATCTATGTGCGATGAGTATCTCTGCAGAGGCGAAGAACCAAACTTCATAGCTGAAAATGAATAAAAAAAGTAAACACATTGGTTATACTTTCATATTGTCTCTTGTTTTCATGGTTCTTCTTCTTTACCTGTATTATAATAGGCGTGTTTGATTATTTTCCGACGATTTTGTGATTGTGTCGGTGAGATAGAGTAGAGTTTATTCCTTGGAGAATTTTCTGTTCTCTCGGAACAGCTTGATTGCTTTTGAGACAAGTACATTGTAACCCAGAGATTTATTGAACACGGAACGTGGACTAAATTCTTAATTACTGAACAAGGCGGTAATATTTGATTACACAGGAAATAAAAGGGGTGAAATTTAAATATTTACCCGCTTTGACGAAACGATACATGGCTGAAATTGATAATATTATTGTAAAGGGGCGATTTGAAATATTAACCGTGACCTGAGGATATGTTAAAAAGTTATTTTCCATATTTTTCCCTCTTTCTTTCAAGAAATATATAATCCATATTCATATTTCTTTCTCTTCTTCAGAGCAAAGCGATCAAAAGCAAAATATAGTTGAGAGAGAGAGAGAGAGAGAGTAACAATGGAGCACGATAATGAAGATGAGAAGCATATTCCTGTAGACGAAGATGACATTGCGATTCTCAAAACCTACGTACGTAGTTATGGATGGTCTCTGTTATTTGTTTGTTTGCTCTGTTCTATCTTGGTCCGTTCTTCTCATCTTCATCTAGTAACTTGGCCTCTGCTGAGAGAGTCGGCTAAATGGGGTTTCACTGAACATTTTGGGTTTCATATGCTATCATTACTATACTGTTTTTTTCATTCGAGAAAGAAACAAATTCAAGATTGATCATACAATGCATTTCTCTCAAACTCTTTAAGTTATGTTCTTGAGTGCAAGTAGGAATTATAACCTTTTCTATTGTCTATTCTGTTCTAACTCCAGACATTAGAACCTTATGATGCTGCTATAAGGAAACTGGAAAAAGAGATACAAGAAGAGGCCAAGAAGATCAACGATTTAGATGGTGCGCATTCTTGTTTCTGAAAAAGACTCTCTTATTTTAGGCTAAATGATTTTACTGGTTGATCAGGGATTGAAGAATCTGACATGGGTTTGGCTCCACGAAGCCAGTGGGATCTTATCGCTGATAAAATTATGATGGCTATAGAACAGAATCTGATGGTATCTGATATTTCTCACTCAAGTCCAGAGTCTTCAATATTCAGCTATGTGATGGATATGTACAAGGTTCTCATTAGTTTCTCGTCATTTAGGTCTTTACATGCACAGCTATAATCAATCCAAACTCTGAAGATGCTAAGTATGTCATCCAGTCAGAATACTCGGGGGTACTAATTCAGTCATAACTCCCATGTTTTTATGAGCCTTCTTCAAGCATGTTTTCATTTGTGGCCTGTCGTCTGAGAATCCAATGGATTTTGAAAATCTTGTTTTATTGGAATTGCAGCAGTACGTTGGTTCTATGAGCAGCAGTCTCTCTCCGACCGACGTAGAAGAAGGCATGCGTGTGGGGTTAGTTCTTTGTTTCCTGTACAAACAGAGGAACTTTCACATTCCAGTTCTTAAACATTTAAAGTTACTTGGTCGACAGAGTCAATTCGAAGTTTCAGATAGTGATGCCACTGCCTCCAAGAATTGATTACAGAACCGAAATGTTTACCGTGGAAGATAGACCAGATGTAACATATAATGATTTGGGTGGATGCAAAGAGCAGATCAGACAGATCCGAGAAGTGAGCAAATTCAGTGTTTTCTTTTTCCTGCTGAAGCATTAGTTCTCTGCATCTTACCGGCGTTGTTTTCAGGTTGTTGAGTGGCCAATGCTTCACCCTGAGAAGTTTGAAAAGCTCGGGCTCGATCCTCCAAAGGGAGTGCTCTTTTATGGTCCTCCTGGAACCGGTAAAACTCTCTTGGCTAAAGCCGTAGCTAACAGGACTGCATCATGTTTCATTCGGGTTGTAGGGACTGAGCTTGTTCACAAGTATAGTGGTGTGGGAGCTTTGATGGTTCGCAAACTTTTTCAGGTATTTCATTTGATGTTCATATGCTCTGACTAGTGTACTTGTCAATGGATCATCATCATTTCGATGATATCGTTTTCTTGTGTTCTTTTCTTCAGATGGCACGTTCAAAAAGAGCTTGTATTATCTTTTTTGACGAAGTTGATGCCATTGGAGGTGCAAGGTTTGGCTTTGGTCCCTCTGAAGACAGCGAGATCCAGCGCACTATGCTGGAGATTGTGAACCAACTAGATGGCTTTGATCCGCGAGGGAATATCAAAGTTATCATGGCTACAAACAGGTTTTTTTCTTCTTCTTCTTCTGTTTCACATTAAACTGAGTTAATTCCCCTAAATGCAGCCATTGCCTAGTTCCTAA